CTACTGCTATCGAGTACCAACATGACAACTCATCCAAATTTACTTATTGAGAAAGCTGAAACTGAGGGAAAGTGGTTCAAGAGATTAATTGCTCCCTGACAAGAAAGACTAATGGGTAGTCCTGTGGCCTAAGTTATATACTTATGGTTGACTTGCTAGTAATATTGGAAGTTTAGATTTTTAAATCTCAATACTCTTAAAAATAATTTAGTTGATTATATTTTAAAAGTGATCTCATTTCATACTTTCTTCCTGTAAATTTGAATACTCATTGGTTTGAACTGAATCAAACATTGTGAAACCAGTATAAAACTTAACAAGGCATGAAAATGCTATACTATTAATAAAACTAATAATCATAAGAAAAAATAATGATGTCCTATAGAGCTTAAAACATATATAAAATAACAATTTGGCAATAAAAGCACAAAAAAGGAGAGAAGTGGAAATTTAGGGTTGTAAATGCTTTAGAATGCACACAAAGTCATATGATATCAATAAAGATAGATATGATAAAGATGTATATTATAAATCCTGTAACAACCAACTAAATGCATAATGAAACTAGTCATATAAAGGGTATAAAATATATTTGATCCAAGAATAGGTAAAAAGAAAAGAAAAAAAGTATTCAGATAGCAAAATGGACAGATTAAAAAAAACAAATAGCAAATGACAGGTATAACTCAATCATGATAATCACATTAAATATAAATGGTTTAGACTTTAAAGTAAGATTAAATGACATTAAATATAACTGATTTAAAATCAGACTGTATAGGAAATATGACTATTTTCTGTGATCTGAATTTAGTTTTTTCTCACCAAAACTCAGGTTGAGGCATAGTCTCCAATGTAACACCTAGTGTTGAGCGGTGCTAGGGCCTTTAAGAGGACTAATGCTTTTGTTGTGGGTGTGAGTTTTCACTCTCATGGGACTAGACTGGTTATCACAAGAGAGTGTTTTGTTATAAAGCAAACTTGATACCTTTTCTCTCTCTGTCACACATGTTCCTTCTGCACATGCCTGCTTCCCCTTTGGTTTCTCTGCCATGAGGTGACTCAACATGAGGCCCTCACCAGAAGATGAACAGATGCTGGAGTCCTGCTCTTTCACTTTTATTCTTCAAACTGTGAGCTAAAAATCCTCTTTTCTTAAGAAAGTACCTACCTTCAGGAATACAGAAAACAGACTAAGACACTAACTATATCTGCTTACATGAAATGAATTCTCAGTTCTGTACCATTGAGATGTATGTCTGTCTTTATGTTAGTATCATAGTATCTTGATTATGATAAATTGATAATGTGACTTAAAATATGGAAATGTGGACTACAGGCATGGCTCAATAGAGTGCCTGCCTAGAAAGCTTAAAGCCCTGAGTTCAAACCCCAGTACCATCAAAAACAATATGGAAATTTGAATATTTTGTCTGGTTTTTTTTGAAGATTGTGTAATTATTGAGTTTCCCTTGTATTTACATATGAATTTCTTGATCAGTTTTTAGCATTTCTAAAAAAAGTCATTGGAGTTTTATAGTAATTGCTTTGAGACTATGGATCTGTTTAGAGAGTATTGTCATCTTAACTGTACTAAGTTTACCAAACTATGAAGACAAGATGTTGTTACATTTACTTTACTTCTTTTAATTTTTTTTTTTTTTGGCAGTACAAGGTTTGAATTAGGGCCTCACACTTGCTAGGAAAGTATACGATCACTTGACTACTCTGCCAGCCCTCTTTTAATCTTTAACATCACTTCATATTCTGTATCACATAACCTCAACCTCTGTGCAGGCTCCATGCCAGCTACCAAGATAATAGGGCCTGACTGCTCTTTAATGTTTCTTTCCTGTCACCTACATCGTCACAGAGAACATTTCTGTTAAGCTTTTAATTTCTTGGGCTGGCAGAGTGGCTTGGAGAGTGCTTGTCTAGCAAGCATGAGGCCCTGAGTTCAAAACCTAGTATTGCCAAAAAAAAAAAAAGAAAAAGAAAGAGCCAAAATTTAAAAAAAGCAATAAAAGCTTTCAATTTCTTGGGGCCTTATTTAGACCACAAGACACCAGTCTTTTTTTTTTTTTTTGCTTTAGTTATTTTTCAGATAGGGTCTCACATTTTTTTCTCCCCTACCATGGCTTGGACTGTGATCCTATTGCCTTTGTCTATCATGTACCTAGAACCACAGATGTGAACTACAAGTGTGGCATATTGACTGAGATGGGGTGTTGCTAAATAGAGATCCTGCTCATCCCTTCTCTCCAAGTAGCTGTGATTACAGATGTGAGCCATCACACCTGTGCTGACATAAGTCTTTTCTATGCACAGGTTAGTCCTGTGCATCATAGAATGAAAAAGGCAAGTCTCAAATAAAGTGGTTTCAGTCATGAAACCACTTTGCATATTACTGTTCCCAGAAAAGTCAACCAAAAATGTTACTACAAAGTCAGCACAGCTGTTTGCCTCAGTCCTTGTGTCCAGTGAGAGAATTCAAGAAAGATGGGGAAATGTAGTGAAAGTGATAGTAAAGAATATTAGGAAAGGAATACACTTTCAATAGACTGAAAGCAGATCATCTCTGGAGAGAGAACTAGAATGACAATTTTTTTTACCATGGTGCCAGTTTTTATTGAAGGGGAAGGGACTTCCCCTTGAAGGGGAAGGCATTAAGCCTTCCTTAAGACCAGCCCATGAGGCTGAAGTCATGGTTAAGGTCACCATGCTAGGTTAGGCTTACAGATTTACAAAGTACAAAATATTTTTGGATCCACCTGACCTCCATAGTTTAATTTAAAGGCTTTGTTTTGTTAAGTAAAAATGTATTGTTTCAGGAACTGATGTTGACCCATCTTTGGGTGGGTGACTTAAAAACATCTTGTGACATACCATGACTTAAGTGGGATGTTTTGATCTTATCAGTGACTGTTGAGTGGTATTCTCTCAGAGACCTTGAAGAGTCCTCCATTTTAGGTTTCCTTTGCATTTCCCTGTAGGTCATGGCTGACTGTTACTTAACATTAGGACTTACTGAGTAATGAGGTCATGGAGATTTATATTTGTATTTCTGCAGGTGTTTTTAGTTCACTGATGGCGTAGAATATATGTCTGTTTTACTCCTGTTGGAATCTGGAACAATATAGAATGTTTATTTATATTACAATATTACAATGTTTAGTGAGAGAACCTAAGTGTTCTCAGTATCAAATGGTCAAATGATGACTCAGCTTACATGTCCCTGCCCTTCTCACAAGTATGTAGTGCAATCGAGACAGAAGTAGTTGTAGTCAGTACTTTCAGAATGAGCTGATAAATTCAGATAGTGTCAGAACTATATAAGCAAGTAAAAGCACTGGGGGAAAAAATATCTCAAAATGTCCTTGTATTCTCAAATAAAGTTCTCTGCAGTTGTTACTTGACCAGAGTAGATACAAAACTGGAGTTCTGGACCCAAAGCCCAAACTCCTGGGATTCAACATGCCAGGTCCATCCATTCACTCCTAAATGTACAGTAAAGAGGCATGGTGAAGGCAGAAAAAGGAGAATTATTATATTGCTTGAGACGCCATCTTCAGGGTATAGACATGAGCTATAAGTAGACAAAAGAACTGGGAGCAGGGGACAAAAGGTATGTATAACCAGTTCCAGTCACATGTGTGGTCGTTGGTCATTATCTCAGTCCTTGTTCCGGGAGAGGTTCCTGTTGTTATCTGGAGGTTGGTCTTTCCTGAAAAGGCTCCACTTAGTTTCTCTTCCTTGTTAGGAAGATGTTATCTGTCTTTTCTGGAATCCAAGGTGATTGCAAAGTGACTGCAAAGAGAATAGCTTAGAGCAAGGACAGATATAAAACGGAGAGATGCCATGCTTTTCTCGTGCTTTTAATTTATGGACCAGAATAAGGAGTCCTTGCTTTTCAGCAAAAACAGTTTGAGCACCTCTTATACATATACAATAAACACTTGTTAGCTATCAGATGATGGTACTGGGAAGTGGTAAGAAACATTGTCTTCTATTAGTGTATGATAAACTTTGCTGTGGTATCACTGAGAATGGAGCATCCCACTATTACCTGAAGGCCTGACGTTATCTTTTTTTTTTTTTTTTCAGTACTGGGGCTTGAACTCAGGGCCTATACCTTGAGCTACTCCATTTTTTTTGTGATGAGTTTTTTTTGTGATAGGGTCTAGTGCCCAGACTGCTGTGAACTGCCTCCTGAGTAGCTAGGATTACAGGCGTGACACTGGTGCCCTGCTTGCCTGAAGTATCTAAGTAAGTAGGGTGTTTGACCAGAGAAGCATCCTTGATTTACAACCAAGGTGAACTTGAGAAGTTTGGAGAAATAGCATTTCACATTTACTTTAACTTTGTAGTTTCCAGGAAATAGGATCTTGAATCTGCCTGTTATCCAATGTTGATCATCAATGCAGTGTTCCTAACAGAACTTTCAATAGCTTATAAGGGGACATAAAAAGTCTTTCATCCTTTTGAGTGATTTACTGCTTACTTAACAATAACTTACTTCTCCAGAACAAAAATCTGTGATAGCCTTTTAAAACTGATCTTTGCTTCCCATCTCTCTTCCAGTCATTCAGCACAAGCCATATATTTTATCATCTCAACATTTCTTCGGTTTCCCTCCCATATTACAGTTTGCTTTTCTGCAAACTTTGTCGAGCTGTTTTGATTCAAAGCGCCTAAGGCCATTGCTTTTGCAAAGTAGACATGCAATAGCTTGGGGTAAAGTAAACAACCAATGTTTTACTGATGCATTAGCTTTAGAGTCCTACAAGCGGGCTATTATAAATCTAAGGAATCTACTGCAATTTAACCTCTGAGGAATTTAAAAAAAGAAAGAAAGAAGAAGTCTTCGCAAGGAACTGAAGACCCCTGAGTAGGAAGAACGTCCTAAGCTCTGGGCGTGTAACCACTAAGCCACTTTGCCCAGACACTCGAGGCAGCGCGCATGCGCAGCCCCTTCCTGCGCCTGGTCTGCATCCGGGTCTTCGGACTGCGCGCTCCCCACGCCTGCTGGTCGCTCGCGGGTTGCTGGGTGCTGGTAATTCACTGTTCCAGCGTCAGAAGAACAAGTAGGTCCCTGGGTGAGTAGGGGTTCAGCTGAAAAAGGGGACTGGGGCGGGGACCTGCAGGCTGTTGTCCCCTCCGGGGCTTTGGGTGGTGAAACGGGGACGCGGGTGTGGGTCCCTGAAGCCTCGAGGCGGGGACGCGTGGGGTGCCCGGCCTGGCCCTTTTAGGATCTGACAGGTCTTCCGCTGAGGAATTGCGCCACTAGGAGGAGACTCCCCGGTCCCCTGGTCGCTCGCGCCTTTCTCCTGACCGCGGTCGTTCGCATTGTGAGTTCACAGTGGGGTCACGGGGTCCGGTAGCCTCTCAGGTGAGGCTGGTCTGTGGCCCCCGTCTTCCCGGCAGGACCCGCGCGGTCCCGGCAGCCCCCCGCCCGCATCCGGGTCAGTAGCTCTTGCCCTGGCCGCGGCTTTCTGGTCCAGGTCAGGTGCAGAGGTTCTGGGAGTGTAGACTTTAGTGCTGGTCCTTCTACGAGCTAACTGTGTAGCTTCCGTGTGGAGAACTTCCCATCTGACTTTTAAGTTGGGAACTTGTGTGATGCACGTCCGAAATGAATCAGCACCCGCACGAAGGGCTGGTGCTATGTTGATTTTGAATGATGCCAGAGAATTGCATCAAGCCACAGCAGTGTTCATCTCTGAGGACTGGCAAAAACTGGAAAAGGCACGTCTTAGAAATCTGGATTAATGCGGCGAAGAGATTTTTTCGGACTGAGGGGAATTCATTTAGGAATTTTTGGAGATGTACTCTGCGCCCTGAAGTTTTTACAAACCAGCAAAACCGTTCCTGTACCTTGATGTGAGAGACTTGCTTGAACCTTTTTGCAGTGAAATGAATTGTGTGCTCTTCTAATTTTAACCCAATTCTAAGAATCTCTTGTGATATTTCAGATCTGTTGAAACACTGTCCTCCCCGTCTTATTTTTTTTTTAATAATAAAAGTTTATTAAAGGTTAGTCAAAGGATTTTGAAGAGGCCTTGGTGGACCAGGTGGAAACCGGAAGCTGAGAGAGCTGTCCACATTTAAGTACTCTTGGCTAATTTTCAACCTTCAGACATATTTGGAACATGAGTCTTTGAGTCCGACGTACTAAGTTTTAACTCCAGCTCCCTCAAAGAATTAATTGCTTTATAACTTTCTCTGTATACTTTGGAGTTGCAGCGCTGAGAAGCAAAGAATGATGATTTCAACCCCACTATCAATTTAATGATACGCCCTTCAATGGAAGGGTTCTTAAACTTGTGTCTATAGTACCTCGCATAGTGCTTATCATAGTAGGTTGTAAAAATGTGTTGAACTGAGAAAAGAGATAATATGCCCCAACAGAGAAGGTGCTTGTAAAGATTTAGTGACTTCTGTCTTTTTTTTCTTTTGTTAAAAATCAGTTTGCTGAATATTCTTACAGGAGGTATGTCTTTTGATGGTCATAACAGCCAGCAGTTTTTCTTGATTCTTTGGTGTAACTGAAGTTATTCTTGACATTAGATTCTTTATATACTCAGGTGGAAGGTGAGTCCATTTGTTGACAGAATTTGGCTATGTGATGTATTTTCTATAAGTACTATTTATATCTTGTTACTGTGCCAGAGTTCTATATCATGGTAGGTGTAACTTTTTATTATACCAGAATTCTAAATCATGTACTTAAGGATGTCTTTTAGATTGCATGTATTTATTATAATAAGATTTTCTATTTGCATTAATTTAAAACATTTAACTTAATACTCTGTGTAGTATGTGGATACAGAACTCAGAGATAAGCAGTTTCTTTATTTAACTTTGTTTTTCTTCTATTGAAATAAGTTTTTATTTTAAAAAAAAAAGCATGTCTAGTATGAGCTCATTCTTGTTTTAATTTGTTTCTTTTGTGGTGCTGGAGTTTGAACTGTAGGTCTTGTCTTGCTAGGCAGGCACTCTAACTAGCAAGCCACACCCCAGTCCATTGATCTCATTCTGAAAAATTATTTCTCTGCTTCCTATTTTATATACATTAGCTCTCAGGAGTGATGAATACCCAGTAATAATGAGAATTATTTCTGAGTTGTAGGATTTAAACACTTTACCAGAAAGGAGATTTGGTTATTGTGTTATTTATAGGGCAAGCTCTGGATATTAGTAAATAACGCAATGTTGCTGAGTAATCATAAGCATTAACTTCTAATTAATATATCAGTACTGCTTTGTTTCTCTTTTGGGATGTTTTATGTTGCTTTAATAAGAATGCAGTGTAGTGTGAGGTCTTTATAGTAAGACTGCTTTAATTTGAACTCTGGCTGTTAGTACCTACATAACATCAGTCAACATGTATGAGTCCATTTTCTCATCTAAAATGGGGCATTGTATTTACTTCACAAGGTTGTCATAAGGATCAATATATGCATTTAAATAATTTCACCCTCTACTTAAACCCAGGGTCTGCTCAAAAGAGAATTGCCCTTATTACTGTTTTACAAGTACAGATTGTATTTTTTATGTACATGCCCTTCTTAAGTAATGACCTTTTAAAAATCATCAGTATATTAATTATATTTGTGTTTGTAAATTATTTAAAGTGCTTTACAATGGAATTTTCTCAGGTTTCAACTTCTTGTGCTGAAGCTGTGCATCACCATAATGAGGCTTGTAATCCTTGAGAACTATGAGTTGGCCAGTGAATGGGCAGCCAAATACATCTGTAATCGTATCATTCAGTTCAAACCTGGACAGGACAGATATTTTACACTGGGCTTACCAACAGGTAATAAAACACATTTTCTATTTTACTTGTTTATTATTAATTTTGTTTTCCATTTTAGATAGATTATCTAAGGTTGTAGAATTGTAGAGTTTGTCTCAGCAAAATACTTTTCTCATTTTCATTGATTGAACATGTTAGTATATAAAGTAAAAAAAAAAGTGTGTATATATATAAAACATGTATATATATATATTTATATATATATAAAATTTTACTGTTTCTTATGTTAAATTTCTGTTTCACTTACCACTCCAAAGTGCAATAGGACATACCCTAACGTAAATGATAGTCATGGTGTTTTTGTACCTTTTCCTAGTACTCCTTTGTTTCTAGCATTGCTTCCACTATTCATATTAATTCTCTTAGCTTTTTTATTAATAATAGGAGATTCTAAAGTATGTATTATTGCCTCTTAATTTCACCTCACTTGTCTTACAATCTCTTATCAGCCTTTTACTATTGCTTTATTTTCCTACTGTTATGGAAGTATTTGAAGGGAAAAAATTAAAGATTGGTATCTTCATTACAGAATAAACCTAAGTATTAATTACATATTTTATTGGATTTAAGTTTCTGTTAAGAGCTGTCTTAAAACATTTTTTAAGACAGGTAGTGTCATTTAACCTTTTGGTACTTTATTTGCAATTGTTAATCTTTGATTTTGCGTAGGTATTAGACCCTAGGTATTAGGCTTAGAGTCAGAACAGCTTCTTAGTGACTACAGGACATTTATTCTACATACCTGAGCCTTGGTTTCCTTACCTGTAAGAAAGATAAGAGCAGTAATAGCTCAAAATATTGTTTTGAGGCTCAACTAAGATGCTGGATGTACAAATCCCCTGTATCCTGTAAATACTAGAGCTCTCATAAGTCTTTTATTTAAAAAGATTCTTCTCCTTCTCCCTCAATACATTCCAACTACATAAAAAACTACAATTATAATTTCTTTCTGCTTTGATGATTTCTATGAATAATATTCTTCAAGTTGACTTGGTTTGTTTGTGGTTTTGCTTTTCCTCTTATGGCTTGGGGCAGTATATCTTAAAGACAGTGGCAAAGGGGGGTTTTATGAATTAAGCACAGAAATGCTGCAATGCCCACAAAAGCACCCTTGGTTCTGTTTTGTGGGTCTTGGTGTTGAACATAGGTTCTATGTCAGTTTGCATATTACCAACCTGGCTTACACTCAGCCTACTTGTATTCATCACATTGTCTTTTTTGTTTTTTTTTTTTGAAGTGTATCATAATTTTTCTTTTTGCAGTACAGGACCTCTGCTTGCTTAGGCAGTCTGCCACTTGAACCACTCTACCAGCCCCACATTATGGTAATTATGATGCAGAAGTAGTAATTGAGTGTGGGGACAGAAAGGCTCCAGAGTTCTAAACATTAGTAGTGCCAGACATGTTTTTCTGTATTTAGATCTACAATTTTATTTTTGGTAATGTAACTGCCTACTAACATACCTGCAAGTATCTGAAAAGCCTTGTTGGCATTTTTCACTATTGTCTTTTCATTCACCCCTGACATTGTTAGTTATGTCTTTCACTTTCTCTACTGATTTTGAAACTTGAACATATATATCTATGATCTTAGGTGACATGTTATATTGTAATTATCCTCCACCAAGCACAATTGCTGGGGATTATGTGTTTAATATATATTGACTGAAGTGATGTTGATGACCTTGATGTTTAAAGATCTGCATATTGTGAGCCTGACCTGTCTCTGAACACTATTGCCACCATTCCCCTACTCTGAATTGGGTTAGATAAATTGGACTGCTTATGGTTTAAAGAATAGTCCTGAACTTGCTGGCTTCTTGTTTTTTTTTCACTTATGTTGTAAGTATGTTACCTAGTGCAATCTAGATGAGTTTTGGAACTACACCTAGACTTGATTCCTTGACTTCATTGCCACTTGATATTTGGCAATTTCTTTAATCTTTTTGACTAGTTCTTCCATCTTCAAAATAAGAAAGGCAATGTCAGTTTCCCAAGGCTTTGGGATTTATATGAGATTAATGTATAAAAACCACCAGCTAGCATCTAACCGTATGAGTAGGTACAAATATCATCTTTGGACTTCCTCCATCTTTTGTGCTTTCAATTACAGCTCTTCCTATCCTTGTCTGAGTACCACCTTTTTTCAAGACTCAATTGAAGTGCCCTCTTAGATTATTCCTCCAGTAAGCAGATTGAATCTTTTTTTTTCTTTGATTCACTGTAGTACCCTAGACTTCTTTTAGAATATTTGTGTTTTTCTTTGTGGCATACTTACTTTGTACTTGCTTATCCCTATATGATAAGTTTTCACAGAGAAAATCTTGATAATCTTTGTTTTATTTGAATTATGGCAGGCACTCACTAAATGTTACTTATGTTGTAAAATGACTATTGCAAAGACAATATTGAAATGAGATTTCTTCAACCAGTTTACTCTGTACCATATTTTTAATTTTTTCCTTTATCCACATTGATTAAAAATTAGAAAATGAGCTGGGCACTGGTAGCTCATAGCTGTAATCCTAGCTACTCAGGAGACAGAGATAAGGAGGATCACAGTTCGAAGCCAGCCAGGGCAAATAGTTCAAGACAGTATGTCAGAAAAACTCATCACAAAAAAGGGCTGGTGGAGTGGCTCAAGGTGTGCTGAATTCAAGCCCCAATAACCCTCCCACACCACCCAAAAAAAGAAAATGAATAGTTTTCATCACCACTATTGTGACAGCTTTTCACTTTTTAAATTCATGTAGCCTTAAATTGAGAGACTCTTGTAACTAACATTGAAAGAAAGAAAACACAATCATGCTTCTAGAAAAGAAGAGAAGGCATATATACCATCTTTTTTGACAGGTTTCATATTAGTGGACTATAGTTCTTTGAGAAAGAATTATGACATTTGCCTAGGTTTGACTTTATTAATTATAGCTTAAAATAACATGCTTACCTTTAAGATTTGATGATGGACAGACTAGGCTACAATACGTGTTATGAGTACCTTTCGCTTTGGAGTCGAGACTGGACAAAAAGCACTGTAGAAAACAAAGAGGGAGGCATCACAAATGACTAAATTTATTATTGTGTCATGAAGCACTATGAAATCTATTTATAAATTCAAGTAATTCTATAAAACATGGCAAATAATAATTTATAAAAGAGTAAAATCTACTACTCTGATGAAGTGTCTGATCCCAAGATCTCACTTCCTAGAATGCCTTTTAGTGGAAGATAACATGGAATGAGAAACAGGAACTCATTTAGAAAAGCTGTGGGGTTAAAGTTCCTCCCAGTCCTTTCTTAGTTTCAGGGTCAATGTTGAAAGTGAGCATAATATGTAAGTTTGGTTCTGGCTTTTTTCTTAATTTTGGTGAATGGTCAATACTTAACCTATTTTGGTGTCTTTTATATTAGAATGCATGATTTTTTTCAAACGGTGTGATGTTTATTTTTCTTTTCATTCAGTTGTACTTTCTAGAAGATTTTAGTCTTAGGATTTGCACTAGTAACTCCAAATAACCAGCAGCTCAAGAATAATTTTCCAAACATTACTTTTTATTCTCAGATTTCCAGCCTTATTTAATAAATTCTGATTTATTAAAATTTCAAGGTACCTTGTAAAGTAACTTCATCAACCTATATTTATTAATGGAATATATATTTAAGTTAATAATTGATGAGTATTAGAAATGTAAAATATTAAAATAATAGTTGAATTAACTATGAATATTTTTAAAAATAGATATTCATATTTTTTTGAGAAAATGGTATTTCTGTCTTTTAGGGAGTACACCTTTAGGATGTTACAAAAAGCTAATAGAGTATCACAAAAGTGGAGATCTTTCTTTTAAATATGTGAAGACGTTTAACATGGATGAATATGTAGGTAAGGTATATTTGAATATATTATTTTAGCATGTGGTATATTTTGAATGAAATGAATATATTTTTAGAATATTAACATTTTTAGAATATGTTACTCATTTGTTTTTAATAGAATATGTACATATTTCTAGACTGCTTTGTGAAGTGCTTTGTGATAAGTTTGGGACTTTCTATAAAGATCTATTTTTGTGAAGACAGTACAGATTAGTGGACGGAATTCAGTACTAGGAATCAGAATCTGTATCCATCCTTGGCTTTGCCACGAACCAATCATGTTTCTTTGAGCATTCCATTCATATTTCTCATCCGTAACCTCGCTCTCTCTCTCTCTTTCTCCCTTGCCTTTCTCTTTCTCATTCTTTTCCTCCCACTTCCTCTCAAGGTACTTAAAACCATTGTTGTTGGGAGTAAATTAAGTGATATGTATGCAAAAGTAATTAGTAAAATAAGATTTTTTTCAAATTAAATGTAGCATTAATACCATGAAGCTTTTATAATTTATTGAGTATAGCTTATTTAATTGGAAGATCTCTGCTGCATAGAAACTGTATGATAAAATTTAAGCATAGGAATTCATTTTTATTGGTAGCATAATTTATAGCTAAAGGACTATTATGATTATACTTTGCACACATAAAGGAGAATAGGGGAGGAAAATGGTCAACATTGTGGTTGGCAGTTAATTTACTTATTTTGATACATGAGTCAGTTACATTGGTTAAAATTTTGTGTTTGAAGGGTGTTGTGCAGTGGTTCCATGCATGAATTAGACTTCTTATGTTTGCTTCCCAGCCTCTTTGTGAGCTGTGTGACTTTGGGAAAAGTTGTCTGTGTTTCACTTGACCATCGTTAAAATAAAAATGATAATAGTATTTCCTCGGATGTTTTACGCATTATTAATAATGTTAATATATAAATGTAAAGTGATGTAAAGCATATAATAAGCATATAATACTCTCTTTAAATATACTTGAAAATTAAATATGATTTAGAAAAGTTCCTTTTCTGGAAGTGGTTACATTTTTTTTTATTAACTCATTTAGGACTTCCAAGAAATCATCCTGAAAGCTACCATTCTTATATGTGGAATAACTTTTTTAAGCATATTGATATAGATCCTAATAATGCTCATATCCTTGATGGGAATGCTACAGATTTACAAGCAGAATGTGATGCATTTGAAAAAAAAATAAAAGAAGCTGGAGGAATAGATCTTTTTGTTGGAGGTAGGTGAAAAGATTTTCTCATTAGTCATTTTTTTGCAAATACTTAAAGTAGATTCTTTAAAATTAAAATGAAGTTATTACTATTGCACAATGTAAAGAACACCTGTAACTATAATATTCACCTATTGAAAACAGAAATAGAATGATTTATATTTTACTTTATTTTCATCAAAAAATAATCTTGAAATTCTAACAGTAAACAGAATTGTTTACATTATGTAGACTCCAATCCCTGTTAAATTCTTCTAATTGCCTCTTTAAGGTTGACAGGTCACCACATCTTTAAAAATGAGAGACTTGTTTTCCTGAATGATAGCTTTAGCCTTTCAAATATTTCTTTAAAACTCCAGCATAACCTCCTTATCAGTTTGCATGAGAAATGGATGAATTTTAGCAGATCACTTACATTCCTTCATCTTACTGGAAAAATCAGTTAAGAATGAGTTAAGATTTTTTCGTCATCTGCCCTTAGGTGATATGAGTTAAACTGTATAATTGCCTTAACAAATTCCAAAATGATTGAGTATTTAGTTGACCAAATTCCACATGTAATTTGTATGTATATATATATATATATATTTATTTATTTATTTATATATGTGTGTGTATGTGTACATAATGGAAATAGTTATTCCTTCTTTGTAATAACAATATGGTTTTCTTTTATCATATGAAGGATCTGAGACAGCTTGCTGGTTTAATATCAACTAAAGCTAAAATTGTTTTTGCCGGATTCCTCAGTATTCAACTAAAAATACTAATGCTCTAAATTAACATTCAGATATCTGTCTATACCTTATATTTCATTTATTAGAAACTGCTCAAAATTAGATCTATGTTGAGGCTAATTCATGGTCGAAGCGCCTAAGTATGACTGAAGTAGTTGATTGCTTTTGGACACAATTGGGTTTTGCAGTCAGACATAAATTTGCCTCCTATTTAAGCCTTTTGCTCTGGCAAGTTTGTTGAAGTTGGTTAAGTAAATCATTTGTAAAACAGGATTAATATTTACTGTTCCAAAACTTGTGAAAATTAATCACACTACAACACGCTTAAAATGCCTCAAACAGTACTTAGTACATAGTTGGTACTCTGTGTCACTTCAGTCTTTTCTTGTTTAAACTGTAGAGGTTAACATATTTCTACCTAGTTTACTAAATTCCTTGAGGTTTTTTGTTTTTTTTTTTCCCCTGAATATTTCTAAGAATACCCAATGAGATCAAAATCTTCTCTGAGGATATTTTTATCTGGGTAGCATAGCCAATAACATTTATTTTCTTGTGTAGATAAAATGATTATTTGAGCAAGAATCCAAGTTTGCTATTTTGTATTTCAAAATAGAAATTTACCTATATTTTAAATAAAACCTTCTAATACTGTTTTAGTAATCTTAGACAACACTGGCACATTTCATTTTTGTACTCATGTCTCACTTTTGCGATAATTATCATTTCTGCCTGCCAGTGTTAAGGCTGAGATAGACACTAGATGTTTGAGACTGCTAAAGCCATGTACTTGCCACATGCTCTTTAGATTTTTAAACTCCATGTCAAAATGAACTAGAATTACTGGAATATCATATATATAAACTGTCTAGCTTAGCTTTATCAAGAAATATTTACATTCATTTACTGTTATGTCAAAAAAGCATATTAGTTGTTACAGATTAATCATTAAAAATAGCTGCTTAGAAAATGTCTGATTTTGGACATTTTTTATTTTTTCTTTATTTTCTGACCTTACATGAAGATTCATGTGACAAATCCCTTATAGATTCAGTGGCAGGATATAGAATTTACCAAGGGAAAAATGTGTGATAAGGACGCTATTTTGGTTTTTTGTTTTTTTTTTTTTTGCTTGCTTTCTAGAACACTCATAGTTTAGCATGTTTAAGGCTGCAACTCTCTTATTCAGGCTTTCTGGTGTCTTCCCTTATAAGTTTAAGTCACTTCCCATTTCTTTTTAGCTAAATGGTTTTTGTCTGTTATAAACTACCTTGCTTCTGTCTTCAAAGTAGATGGAACATAAATTATAGTTATTTATGCTTATTATTGACTTTTACTACTAAAATAATTTGATTTTGTTTTTTAACCAGTTTGTCTTAAGCTTTCCATACCCATTTCTCTCTCCCCACTCCACACACAAAAAAAAAATAATAATTTTTAAAAGTTCCTTGCTTCTCCCATTTACATTCTCACTTTAGTGTGATGATCCATAGTCTGCATTGTAGTTGTCAGGAATAATTAGGAAGGATATAATTATCTGTGTATGAAGAGAGGAGTTAGCTTATTACGTTTTCTTTTCCTATTTGGGTATGTACTCATGAAAGAATCTCATTTGATTCTTTGCATTTTTGATCTAGGTTTTTATCATTGGAATTTTCAAGATTAGGCTTGGTATTTGGGTCTTACCACTTGCCATTCTTTTGTTCCAGGGTTTGGTTAATAAAAACACTAAGAACTGTGCCAAATGGGATCAAAATATCAGCTTTTTTAAAGGTAAAGTTGTAATAGAAATTGTAGGTTGGGCTTGAAGTCAGATTGGGGTTTTTTTCTCCCTCTGAACTGGATATAGGACTAAAAGAACTCAGAAATGTTAATTTGCTATTGGTCATCCCAGAGAATTAGAGCAGAAATTCCTTTCTCATTGGAAAAGAGAAGGGAAGAAGCACATACTCTTAAAAAAAAATCTCAATTGAGTCTTTGGGAAAAAATGAACCAGAGAACATCAGATCTCAGAAGTAGGAACTCATCACATTTCTCTCTTCAGTGCTATTATCCACTGTCTCACTTCCATGTTTTGTTTTACTTATTTATTCTTTCTATCAGATCTAAAGAGCTATTCGATTGGTACAGCTAAGGGGAGACAAGTGCTTATATCTAGACCACAATCACAAACATGGTCATAGGGAATTAAAATTGTTTGAGCCACCTAGTAGTGAAGGGGACTAGAACAAAAGAGATGTAGGTGGTAGAAACTACTGAGCCAACTAGAGAAAAGCAGCCATCCACGCATTTATTCAGCCATTTGTTGAGTGCCTCTTATGTGTACTGTATTTTTCTAAATGGTAAAGATAACAGCAATGAATGTAAAACCTTTACTCTCATGAAATTTACACAGAACTGTAGGAACAAAGAAAAGAAATATAATCCAGACAATGAGTTTTTGAGATGTTTCATAGAAATGGTGATACTTTAATTTAGTTAAAAAGACCAAATAAGATTAGACAAATTAAAAAAATATATATCAGGATCCTCAATTTTGGAGTTACTTATAACCAAAATGCAAATGTGTTAACCAATCTATTATTTGCCTTTTCTCATAATTTCAGGTTAGTTATGTACTTCTATTTGTCCCAAGTCACCACTTAGAACAGTAGTATTGATTTTAGTAGACTTCCTATTTTTTTATGGAGCTTTTATATTCCTGGTTCCATTCTTTCTTCTTTATACATATAAAGAGAAATACAATATTTGTGCATCTGAGTTGAAACTGAGTAATGTTGCAAATCTAAAGAGAAATGTTTAACTAAAACTTGTACCTGTAACAGATGTAGTACTTAATAGTGAAAATTATATCCTTGCATGTAAACCACATGTAGGTGTCTGTATTAAAAATATATGTTCCACATTAAAAATTCCCAGATTGTTGTGCTTTGATCTTCTGTATTTACTTCATTAGAGTATTCACTTCTTCACTTTTCAAACTGGATTGCAGTTCATCATATTTTACCTTGTGGGGCCTGGGAAATCTTTATTAGGATTATATGGGAAGTGTAAGTAAGCTATACCTGCCATTTTATTAAAGTAAACATGTAGAACATAAGTGCAGAAGATATTTTAATCACTTAGAACTTGAGGTTTTAGGTTTTTATTGAACTTGCTTTCAAACTACTAGGATAAGTGTATATATAACTTGATTTATAAAAAGAGTTACCATTTTCTTCAAATAAGAAATACCATGTTCTGGCCAGACAAGGTGGCTCATGCCAACCTAGTTAATCAGGAGGTAGAGATTGCAGTGCTAGTCCAGCCTACACAAAAAGTTTGTGAGGCCCCTTCTCCATCAATGGCTAGGCATAGTGGCACATGTCTGTCATCCCCAGGAAGACTGTGTAGGAGAATCCTGAATTACGCTGACCTGGGCATAAAGGGAGATATATTTCAAAAATAACCAAAGCAAAAAGGGCTGGAAGTGCAGCTCAAGTGGTAGAGCACCTGCTTAGCAAGTGCGAGGCCTTGAGTTCAAACTCCAGTAGTGCAAAAACAATCAAACAACAACAACAACAACAAAAATGAATTAAAGAAATACCATTGTATTCTGCGTTCACACTTGTAATTCTAGCTTCTCGAGTGGCCAAGATCAGGAGGATCGTGGTTTGAATTTTCCTCGGGTAGTACCCATCACACGAAAGGACTGGGAGCATGGCTCAAGGAATAGACACCTGTCTAGCAAGTGTGAGGCCCTGAGTTCAAACCCCAGTACCCCAAAAAGAAAAGAAATACCATGTTCTTATGTAAAATCTAGAGACAATCTTAGAATATTATAGCTATCTGCAGATGTCCTTAAAATAAAAAGCGGTATTTTTCAACTAACTTTCATCCATTATTAAGTCATAAAATCAGCATAGCCAGTCACAGTCAGCATTTTCTTTCTGTTTTATGAATGAAACGGAATGCAATAGAAAATAGCTTGTATGGCTACACAGTAAGGCTAAGTATGGTTTCATGCAATTTTGTTTTAATTGTATATATGATGCGTGTATGTATGCTAGATTATGGTGTCAAGTTCTAGATTGTAGTGTCAAATATTACTTCTTCCAATAGATCAAAATTTTGTAACTTACTGACCTAGATGTTATCTAATCTATATATTTTCACAAGTGAGGGATCAGAACTATACAAACAGGCTCCCCTAATTAATTGCCCCTCTGGACTAGATCCAAGCAAATTAAGGTGTGTATAAAGACTACTGAGTTAAAAATCAGAAATCTTAGAGTTAAGTCTGTTTCAGTGTTTACTAAACTGTGTCCTTGAGTGAATCACTTATTTTCCTTAAGCATCAGATTTGCTTTTATGTTAAGAAAAAGGGAAATAGGTATGTCTCATCTTACCACCTCATAAGATTAAGTATATCTATTGTGATGATGTATGTGAAAATGCTTTATAAACTCTAAAGTGTTATGCTAAGATAATACTTAATTTTACTGCTATTATTAGAATTATGCCAGCTCAGTGTTGTGCATATAGCAAACATGGAAATATTTTGTTGAATGAAAAACAGAACCATTTAATGCATTATTATAAATTCATATATAAAATACAAGGTAAGTGTGTTTATGATTGTTTCTTTGCCCTTGAGAATGTTTAAATTTGATCTAACTTACTGTATTGAGAAAAGTACTTATTTCCTGTTTGTGTATGTGTCTATGTATATGTTTCTTTTGAAAGGAATAGGTCCAGATGGTCATATTGCTTTCAATGAGCCAGGATCCAGTTTAGTATCAAGAACAAGATTAAAGACTCTAGCAATGGACACCATTTTGGCAAATGCTAAATACTTTGATGGAGATTTATCCAAAGTGCCAACTATGGCTCTAACTGTTGGTGTGGGGACAGTGATGGATGCTAGAGAAGTAAGCATGCACCAGTTTTTGATCTTTTCCTTTGATATTTATGTATGTTGGAGTTATTATGATGCAGAATAAATATATTGGTTGTGTCCCATTTGCAGTAAAAATTGGGTTTTAGCTGTCCCATTGACGTTAGGAATCATCCAAATTTAAATCTTTTGGGTTATCTAATAAGAATTAGGTACTACCCTTTTTTGAGGTACTGCTTTACTTGCCCATTAATGCTTCACAGTTTGAGGTCCTAAAATACCACTAATGATATGGTTTATTTTTATTGAAGTAGTCTTGTGAAAGGAATGTTGAGGCCAAAGCCCTACTGTCTTTCTTTTGTGGTACCTATTCTTTTGTTTTTTCTTTCAGTAAATCTTTGGTACTGCTTTGCAAAAAAATAAGACTGGACAAAGATGCAGTGCTAGCACCCTACATAGTTTTAGAGTCCTCTGGATGATTTAGTGTAAAGTGCTTCTTGATGATATGTAGGAGGATAGCTCAGTTGATTTCAGCTGAATCTTTTCTAAATTTAATACATTTAAGAATGCATGAACTCTGAACATTAGACTCTGCCTAGTTTTTAAATTTGCAGTTGTTGTTGTTTCTTCTACTAAGAAAAGCAAAACAAATTAGTCAATTTATGATTATCAGCGGCTAAATTATAACAGTTCAGAGAAAGAGGACAAATACAGTATGTTGTTTCAAGACATACAAACAGAACTTATTCAAAACATAGGAGTTTCTCATTATCTAACCATCACAAGTGTTGAGGAAAGCACTGAAATTTCATAGTAAATAATTTGGAAAGAGGATTTTAGAGCAATCTTATTTTTAAAATAGGAAAGTGAAAGTTAAGCATGTAGATTTCTTATATTTAACAAGATAAAAGTCTTAGTGTGAAAACACTGTTAGAGTGGACAGAATTACTGTTTTTCCTTAGTTCTGTTTTTTTTCCACAAGGTTATGAAGCTATGCACCTACCATATTTGTTCCTAGTGTGTCTCTATAGAAACTCATCATGGTAAAACTATTCTAGGGCTTCATCATTTTCCCGAGGACTTATTAGCAATTCTTTGAATTTTCATAGCATTCTTTTGAAGCAAGTTTGTTTGTTACCATATTTATTGATTTTCCTATTTTCATTTGTAATTATTTTAATTTATATAGTTTCTTTTGCCAGTTTTTGTTGTTTTTAATTAACAAAATTAATTTTTAATTAATTTTCACAGCAAAGCTGTGTGAAAATTCCTAGAGTTCCCATGTACCCACCCCCGTATTGATACACATACAGTCTCTTCCACAATTAACATTAGCACCAGGGTGGCACATTGATACAACTAATGAATCTGTGGTGACACATTATCACTTAAAGTCCATGATTTACAGTGGGGTTAATCCAAATGTGTAGCAAAATCCACCATTATAGCATAAAGACATTAGTTTTGCTGTTTCAAAAATCCTCTGTGCTCTGCCTATTTATTCCTCCCACCTTCACAGTATGGCAACCATGGGTATTTTGTTTATCTCCTTAATTCTGATTTTTCCAGAATGTAATATTGTTGGAATCACACATTTTGTAGTGTTTTTATTTTAATATTTTTCGTAGTACTAAGGTTTGAACTCAGGGCTTCATGCATGCAAAGCAGGTGCCATACTGCTTGAGCCACACCTCCAGTCCATTTTGCTCTAGTTATTTTGGAAATTATTTTCTTTTATTCTTATATCACTGTTCTTTTCCTTTAGATAATACTTGCCATGATTTGCAATACTTATTAGTTGTTTCTTCACTAATTTACACTCTTCATAAGCTTATGGGTCGTGTATATACAGAACTTGACATTGCCTGTCAGGTAGTAGATGTCAAATAGTTGGGGATTGTTTCAATGGATTACTTATGTTAACAGTTTTGCACAAAATTTGTCTTATTCACAGCCACCTGAGGGCCACCTGAACTGATTTTTACTTTTTAGGTATTTTCCAAAAGCTTGTTTACCCTGAAAAGATTAAAGTTTCTTTTTAACTAAGTTACAGTTAAAGGCAATGGCCATATATTTTCAATGTAATCTTCCCCAAAAAAATGCAACACAAACTATTTTTAACTATTGAATCATCCTTAAAATTCTTATATATAATTGTAATTATTGAGATATCTATCATGATACTGTGAGTACCAGTAAAAGTTAAAATCTGCTTTTCAGTGCCTATTGAAAGTATCGGAGGTAACCTGTGATTTCTTAATTACTAAAACCATCATCTTCTTTCCCAGTCTCATCCTACACTTTTCGTCATCTCCTGCTATGGATCATTCTGTTATTACAAAACTGCTGTTACCCTTCCTGTCTGACCATTCCTTCTTAGCCAGCTTTCACTGTGCTTCTTCCTTAACCTGATGTTTGAATGTTGCTCCTCAGAGTTTTATCCTACTACTTTGTATTCACTTTGTATACTCTGCTTGTCAATCTTCTCGATAACCATTTAAAAAAAAAAACAAAAAACTTACTACATCAGTGATAGTGACATCTCACTTCCCACATGAGCTTGTCCTAGAAGCCTAACTGGGGCAACAGGAGATGCCAGAAAAGACAACAGAAGACAAAACATGCATAAAGCTGGGGCCAGCTAGGCTGGGTGCTCTGATGGAGACACACCAGCTGCCTCTACCTCCAGTAAGTTTATTATATATACAGTTGCAACACAAAGTGGAGAGAGCGTGTCATTGTAATCCTCGGGAACAGGAGAAACCTGTGACAGCTTCTCTCTGAATGTAAACATCTTAGGAAAAACAGCTGTACTGCATCTTGCCCACTTCTGCAGCTGAGGCTGTGCCAATCCAAGTGTGCAAATTGCTGGCATAACTGTATTTGCTCCCTTCTGTGGTTTGGGGGCTGTGCCAATCTCAAACACACAGCTTATTCAATACACCTGTCAGGTCTCCACAGTGACAGTGTTGGACATTGTTGTCAGTTTCATCACTATTCCAAAACAGATGAACTACTGTCATTACTGGGAAGACAGCAGATGTGTATTTCCAACTGCCTGTTTACATGTAGATGTTTAAAGACTCTTATGTTAACACTGCTCACAATTTAAATTCATCTTCCTACCCAAATTGTCTTGTAATTATTTCTTCTTTTGGTGAATAGAACTCTCCATGAAAATTATCAGAGCTTGAAACATTTGTGCCATTCTCAGCTTCTTTTCCACATCTAGTCAAGTAACTCAGTCCCTCTCATTTAATAGAAAACTTGTATAAACAAGTATCTTGCTCCCATCACAACTGCCTTAATTCAAGTCTATATTAATTTTTTTCCTGATATTTATTTTTATATTTGTTGGGACTGGGGTTTGACTCAGGGCTTCATGTTTGCAAAGCAGGCACTCTACTGCTTGAGCCTTTCTGCCAGCCTTTTTCTGAGATTACTCAAAACCCATCCTAAATCATGTTTATCTCCAGTCTTTACTTATTCCATTCACTGATTTACTGCCTGGATATTTTTTTCAAAAACAATGTTTAGTTTATTACTTATCTGTGTAACTGTCTCTGATTCCCTATTTTATTACAAGTTCATAATTTTGTCATGAAATGCTTTTTGTCATAAAAGGCTCTGACTTCAGCCAGTTTCCAGTGCTGTGTCCTTACCAAACTTTTATTGACTAACCCATAAATGTGTGAAATGACCCCCTTATCTAAAGACTTTGATTTATCCTTAAGACTTGCTTTTCTTAGAAGAGGAGCAGCTCCAGAACTTTTCCCAACTCCCCCAGAGTTTTACCTTCATATTGTCATTATGCCTTATTACTCTGTACATATTATATGCATTTAGCATAAGAATTTGTTCGCATATTTATTCTTCTGACATCCTTGCCATCTTAAAGGCTATATGATAGGTAAAAGCTGGAACTTAAGAGCTGAAAATTCTTTATTTCTGTTTCATAGCTGTTTCACCTTAGGCAAGTCATTTAAATTCTTTAAACCTTAATTTCCTTATTCATTAAAAATTACATGTGGTTTAAAACTCCTACCAGAAAGTGATAGAGAAGACTAAAAAGCAGTTTTTGTAATTTATTAATATCTATTTGTTTATGGAATGATTGTTTAAGTGTAACTATCACTCTTTCAAGTCACCTTATTTTATAACCTTTTTATTAGTGTTACTACTATACATTTATTATTTCTTTAAGAAGCATAAATTTGCATCATTGCAGCATCTGCCTGGTTCTCAGACATCATTACATGAATAAAGAATCACACCCAAAAACTGATTTTTAAATTTGGAGAGTCTGCATTCTGATATAGGTTTGTCCTTTTCCCTAATATGAGAAGTGCTGCCATTGAGAAGAGTGGAGTAGAACTATGTACCAGTAACATTTTATTCTGAGAGCACTTTGCCCAGTTTCTGCTTTTCAAGATACTGCGTCTGTGCTCTAGCCATAGATAAACAGCAAAGGATCAGCTTATTTTGTATTCAGCCTAAGCTTCAACCAGCCCTCGTTTCTCTACTCCCTTCATAATGTTGATTCTAGCATCAGAATTTATTCTGCCTTCCTTATCAATAAATGTTTGGTTCCTTTCTCACTGTTGTTTTTCCTCATTATGTAGTTGATGTGAAGATTTGTTGTCGTCTGTCACATTACTTTTGATCGTGTGTGCTTCAGTATGAAAGACTTCTCATGTTTTCTGTTAGTTCTGATAACATTCTCTGTTCCAAGAGAATAGTGTAGTGTACTTGTTAATTTGTTGGTGATATGGACCCTAGAATCAAATCATTTGTTCATATCTTGGCCCGCCAAAGACTGTGGGCAAGTTATTGACTATTTATGCCTCAGATTCTTTATCTATAAAATATGAATAAGAATAGTTATCTCATAATACTATTGTGAGGAATTATATGACATAATTCACAGTGAGTCTTAATTCACTCTTTAACCTTCAAATCAGTGTATCATATTTGAGGACATTTCTGAAATAAATTAAACCTTTACAACAATCAGTAGGTATTTTCATTTAATGCAGTATGTGTTAAAGTAGCTTCAGGAAGATTCAAGTGCTGATCTAAAGACTTCTGATAGATTGTCTGCTTAATAATCACTAAAGACACTTTGATTCCTGAAGACTTGGGATGGAGCCAATAACGTGCATGCATATGTACACACACATATATATAAATACGTGTTTTGTTTTGTTCTTTCCCATGTAACACAAAAAAATTGGCTAATGATGCCCAGCAAGGACAAATAATATACATACTCATTAATTAATATTTTTATCATCTTATATCAAACAGTTAATTTTTTGTTTTAAAAAAAAGATACATTTATGCACTTTGATTTAATCAAGATGTAATCAAAAATGTAATATCCTGATCCATCACTCTTTAATTTACTCCTATTTTAGAAGGGCCAGTCATAAAATATGCTTGCACGCATACACATACAAAACTTATATGTTATAAATATTTTAGAATTGAAACCATTTTAACGGTTATTTTTAAACAATTTTAATGAGGAAAAATTATGTTTAAGTGAAATGAACCAGACTCAGAAGACAAAGATCCCATGTTCTCTCTCAGATGTGCAAACTAGATTTAAAAAATAAAAGGCATAAAAGTAGAGAGAGACTACATGGGAAGAGAAAGGGGCATGCCTGGTGAGGGGGACGCAAAAGCACAATGGAGATAATGTGATTTAATAGTACATTGTAAATTTGTGAAAATGTTGGTGAAACCCCTTATTTTGTACAATTAATACATGCTAATGAAAAATTGCAAAAGATTTATAACAATATCCAAACTTATGGGTGTACTCTGAGTTGAAAAGTGAGATTGATTTTACTGCTGAAAGATGATAAAGAGAAGATTCACTGCTATATATACACACTCATGTTGGCATAAGCTCCTTTAATTAATTCAGAAGCAGTTAGCAATTTGTGGATCAAGAACTTGAGTTGTCTGTGTATTAACGGTTTCTGAGTCCATGTGTGCTTAAAAGGCAGCTCCTGTGTTTTAAGTAGATCCCTAATCTGTCTTAAATTCAGTTTTAAATAATCACACATGTTCATTAAATTAATCTTCAGGCTTTTCTAGATGTAATCTGGGTTAGAGTGATTTGATATATAGTTACAAGTTGTATAAAGTCTTTGAAGAGTCACAATACTCTTGTAAGGTAGCCCTCTTTCATTTTCTTTATTTTACCAGGTCCCTTTTGCACATCAGTATTTCCTGTGTTAAATACCAATAAGTATTGTATTCACTTAGCCCTTACAGTACTGCTTCCTGTTTATTTGGAACATGTTGGGACTATTAACAGTGATGGTTATGATTTTTCAGGTAATGATCCTCATAACAGGGGCACACAAAGCATTTGCCCTGTACAAAGCAATAGAAGAAGGAGTCAATCACATGTGGACTGTTTCAGCTTTCCAGCAGCATCCCCGAACTATTTTTGTATGTGACGAAGATGCTACTTTAGAATTAAGAGTAAAAACTGTGAAATACTTTAAAGGTGAGCATTGAATTTCACCAACAGAGTATGAGAAGTAAGTTCTGTTGTAGATGATTTTGACTGTGGAGTTAAATTCCCCTTTTGGCCTACTGAAAACTAGTATCATGGTTTCATAATAGCCAGTTTTTTTTTTTTTAGGAATAAAACTCCTCAGCTAGTAGGAGCTTTCAGAGCAGTTTCCTAGTTTTTTTAATGAAGAAATCTCTTATTTTATCTATATTTTCAATAAGCAAAATTTTTCTTGAAATCAGAATATGGTAAAATACTTTCTTATTGAATACATAACGTTAAATAGTTCAATAGGATGTCCCTTCTGGGTTTCTTTTCACATTTACCAGTCCTTCCACAGCCTAATGTGTGGTTAAGATACATCGCCTGCCAGGTGCTGGTATCCTGTGTCTGTAATTCTAGCTACTTGGGAAGCTGAGATCTGGAAGATTGCAGTTCCTGGTCAGCATGGGCAAAAAAGTTTGTGGAAAAAAGGTGTGTGATGGCAAGCTTGTCATATCAGTGAGGGCTGGAAGAATGCAGTGCAGACTAACCGCAAAAAGTGAGACCCTGTCTCCAAAATAACAAGAACAAAATGGTTGGAGGCATGGGTCAGGCAGTGGAGCGCCTGCCTAGCAAGCATGAAGCCCTGAGTTCAAACCCTAATACCACCAAAATAAATAAATAAAGATGCATGTCCATTTAATTTCACAACTTCATCCAAATGTATCCCATATATTAAAGTTTATATTATAATGGTTAAATTTTAAAATGATGTAAGCAGTAGTTTGGATGCCCAGACAGCTGCATGTTGTTTGTCTGTGTTTAATTCAATAATGCTCAAACCTTAATGTACCACGTTTTATATAAAAAAGCCATACATTGCTGACATAATGGGTGGTTAAAAGATTGTCAAGGGACATTTTGTGTACACTAAGTAAAGAGAAAGTTCCATAACACATAAGCTGTATAAATAAGTATTTATTTAAAGCAACTGTATTTATGTGGCTGATACTGAAAATTATGTGGTTATACATAGGTAGGTCAGTAATTGGCAAGCTGTAATAGCATGTCTGCTGCTTCTTTTACATGGATAAATATACATTTTTGGTCTTTTACTATATTAACTGTTTGTAAAAATGTACTGACATCAAATCTGTACTTTATGAATATCATTGCTTAAGACCAAGTTAAGAAAGTTACCGTATTTCATTGTCTCTGAGGTACATTGATCTGTCTGAAATCGGGATGTTTCTTAAAACATCCAGTTTTAATACTGACAGTATTTTATAATGGTGTATAGCATCTCATATTCAGAAATAAAGTATATAGTCTTAAAAAATATAATTAAATTTAAAGGAAACTGGTAACTAATAGTTCATATAAGCATTGGAATATAGTAAAAATCTTGAAGGTGGTATTCAAATGATTGAAGTTTGGCAAATACTGAAAGTTATCTGTTTAAAAGAATTTTAAATATGCTATTTATGTATTTTTTGTTGCATTTGCACTTAAACACTTTGTGAGCATTTTCCTCTTCTACCAAATGTTCTTCAAAAACATTTTAATTAGATACATAATCAAGTAGCTACATCATAATTTACTTACAAACATTTCTTTATTTAATGCTTAATTTATTTTGTCATATTTTTATCATTTTAAGTTACTAGTATATATCAAGCCAGAAATAACTAAAGTAGAACAGTGTTGACTTTATAATCTGACAAGCAGAAGCACAGAACACTTCAGCAGTAATTTGTGAATAAGAGCTCTTTGGTGGAGTTCTGTATTTTCTTGTAGTTCTTTAGATTTCATCACAAATACTAGATTCCTTGAGGTTAATACAAGCAATTCTCATTATCTACAAATTTTAATGCCAGTTTTAAGGTTCTTAACATGTCCTTTTTCTTGTACCAGTAATCCCCAGATAAACCCTGTACTAGGGCAGTTTTCATCCAATAATATTATTTGATATTTGATTTTCATCAGATAATTTTTAAATTTCAGTGAATAATTTAGTAATGGCCAATACTTGTATGACCAGGCATTATATTTACCAATTTACTTAATATTTACAACAGTACTATGAAGTAATTTCTCTTACACAGGGCATTTTCAAAGGAATTAGCAAATTTAACAGACAAGTCACTCATCCAAAATCACATAGCTTATAGGTGGGCAGAGGAGTCTGGGCTTTTCTGTACTTTTCTGTTGCTTCCTAGAAGAAGTCTGATGTCATCCATATTAAAATCTTATTTGTCTGCTTTTTTTCCATACTATATTGTTTCTAATAAAAATATAAACATATGTTAGATAATTTAGAGGGTAAGTAGATGTTTTCATGTTTAGTTTTATTTTGATACAAAATCAAGCTTTTCTGAGCCATTTTGAAGTATAGACTGTTTATAAAAGGGCTGCTGTATTGCTGAAGAGGACATTGTATCTTTCTACTTTGAAGCTGTATATATTTCTGAAGAGGTTTCATGGTATCAGTACCTGTGAGAAAAATGAAATTATTTTTCTGGCCTATCTATGATTCCCATTTAACAGTAAAGTCTTGGTAGAGAGAAATTGAATGTGCATAAATTTACATGTAATTCAAATATACTTTTATATATTTAACATGTCCTCATTGAGTTACTAGTATATCAAGTCAATACTGGAAGATATTAATCCTGTGTGTAGTTGTTAACCTGTAATTCTTCAAATTTTACTTAGGCCATTACCATGTCTTCCGTTATCACTAAAACATGCCAACAGAAATCTTAAGAGTTTCAAGTACTTAGTTCCTGAATAAGATCTAGGTTAACTAGCTCAAAATGGTAGCAATTATTGGTAAATAGAAGTTTATTTCATTATGTACCTTTTGACAGACACAAGTGAAATACTTGGGAATTCATTTTACTCATTTTTTTTTCATTTTCTATCTTTACTGTTATTATTTTTTGTTGGATTGGGGTTTAATTAAGGGTTTTCTGCATGCAAAACAGATACTCTACTGCTTGAGCCACATCTCCAGTCCAGTTTGCTCTGGTTATTTTTGGGGATGAGGTCTCATGAACTCTTTGACCATGCTGGCCTGGAACTGTAATCTTCCTGTTCTTAACCTTTCAAGTAGTTAGGATTACACATGTAAGCCACTGGCATTGGCTTGTTTTTGCTTTTTAAATAGAACTTTGTTTTTCTGTTAGTGTGTTTTTATAACACCATAATCATGTTAAATATTTTTTCTGTTACTTCCTGTTTAGGCCTCACCTCATAGCTTGACAGAGGTAGAATGACTTCATATTGAATCAAAACCACAAAAGTTATTTTGTAAACATTGTTATTCAGAATCTATGACATACTAACATTTCTGCTAGCAATGGGATGAAATACAGTGTATTTTTATCAATATGCAGAAGAATATACTCATTCTTGCTTATGACTAAGTACCAAAGTACCAATTATTTATTTTTATGAATTTTTTTTTATGTACACAGTTGCAGTTCTTACCTGTAGTCATAGTAAACTCTTGAATGCCTGAAAATATTTCATACTTGGGGAGTAGCCTTATCTTATATGATATTCAATGTAGTTTTTTAAAAAACAAAAACTTTATGAACATTTAAGTTGATTGTATTTTAAAGCTCTACTGTATTCTTATCATAATCAAAATTGCTAGTAAATGATAGATGGATTATGTCAAGTGGAAAATCTCTACATGGTGATTCTCTAGAAATGATAAATCTTCAAACTACCCTTCTCTTTCTTGTCCCCTCTCCTGCTGGACTTTGCCAAGTTTGAGATGCTGAATAAACCTTGAGAAGTCAACATTGTCTCACTTTCAGTTGCACTGGAGACTGGAATGCTTCTCCCATTCCTGCTTGGAAGATTCCTCTTAGGGTTTTTCCTCTTTCCATATGAATATTCTTTGCAGTGGGTCTTCCTCACATTCTGGATTTTATTTTATTTTTTATTTTTTCCAGCACTGGGGTTTGAACTCAGGGCCTCACCCTTGCAAGGCTGGCACTCTTACCACCTGAGCCACTCTGCCAGCCCACAGTCTGGATTTTAGAGCACTCTTTGCAGCTTCCTTGACAAGGAACACCTATTTTTTGGAGGGAGGGGGCACTGGGGTTTGAACTCAAGGCCTCACAATTGCTAGGCAGGCATTCTTACTTCTCAAGCCACTCTGCCAACCTTTTTTTTCTGATGGTTTTTTTCAAGATAGGGTCTAGCAAACTATTTGCCCAGGGCTGGCTTTGAACTGTGATCCTCCTGATTTCTGCCTCCTGAGTAGCTAGAATAAGCATTAGCCACCTGCACTTGGTGGAACGTCTATTTCTAACACATACTTAATGTCCCCAATCCAAGTTTTCTGAGGAAACCATATGAATTCCTTTTTTGTGATCTTAATGACCTGGAAAATTTGACCAGTTCTTTTCAACTTCCAGAGTGTAAAATCTTGTTGGAGGCATGGCTCAAGTGGTAAAGTGCCTGCCTAGCAAGTGCAAGGCCCTGAGTTCAAACTCCAGTACTACCAAAAACAAAGTAAAAAGTCTTTAATTCATTGATTCTGCCAAAGATAATCTTTTTACAACTTTTTTATTTCAAAGAAATGTACTACTTATACATTAAGCCATGTAAGTAACTGGAAGTTATTTCCCAAGAAGCTTTAATATGTAAGAATAATTACAAGCATATATGCCCATTATATAGTAAAATTTAAAATCTACTTAGTCTAAATTTCTACTGTAAATTTTTATTTAATACAGGTTTCTTCTACACTGTTTAGCCTTCCTTGGTGTGTAATAGTTAAGCTTGTAATCAGTACCTTTTTGTGAATATACGTTCCTGGGAGGGGAAAACAATTTGACAGTTGAATGCATATAATACTGCGTTGGAGAGTGAAAGCTATCCTAGTGTGGCAGCAATTGTTGAGCCCCTCAAAAATTGAGGAGTTGACAGAGGATCAAAATAGTTTTAATTAAAATACATTATTGACCAAGTAAGTCTTACTCAGTTTTGTCATCCTATCATACTGATGATCTTGAAGACAGAACTGCATCAGTTCTGATTATTCCCAGAGTACATGTACATGTTCTAGATCTACACTGTTTGATCAGTAATTTATAAACTGGTATTTGTTAGGTAAAACTAAAATTTGAAGCCCTGAGTTCAAACCCCAGTCCCACCCAAAACTATATATATGCATGTATATATCAACATTCTGAAATATTTCTTTTTGCATTTTTTTCCTATCTTATTTTGTGTCAAATGATAACCAAATATACTTATTGTTACTTATAAAACTTTTTTGATCTAAAGGAAATGAGATCATTCAAAATAAAAAAAACTAGAACTATGCTTTTTTTCTTTAAGGTTTAATGCATGTGCACAATAAACTTGTGGATCCACTGTACAGTATGAAAGAAGGAAATTGAAGGAGATTGGAGCAAAATTCTGCTTGAAAGAAAAGAACACTTTTTTTTAATTCATAGATGACTTTTCAGCTATGCAATATGATAAAAATGGGAAACTTTTGAAGGTTATCATTTTTACAGCTCAGTATATGTTAAACATTCCATATTTAGAATGTTTCTATTTTATGCCATGGTTTAGAAGTAGTTTACTCTTTGAATTGGTTGGCTATTTATTATAAAGTACATAATCTATATAGCTGCCTATAAAATGGAATAGAAGTGAAATGTCTGCCTATTTAAGAACTTAGTCGTGTCAGAGATTCTGCACATCAGATATCATTTGTAACATGATCTCTGTGACATAGATTTTTATTAATTTCAAGAAGACACTCCAAGCTTTTCAGATACCAAACCACTATCATTGCTTTGCTTTTGGAATGGTATCTTTTTACTTCCTGTGCATTACACACATGCTTTTCTGCACATGGTTGCCTTAGTCATCTTTCTGGAGTTGTATCTGGACATCAAATGTCCTGCAATATATTGTTGCTCTGCTATCAATTTGAAGAGATGACAGTGCCTAAAAGTACAGTTTACATCATTTTGGAAAGTATGTGTGTGTTTTTGTGCACCTGTTCATGCACTTTTTTTTTAACAAATAATGCTTATTTTTATTTAATGATTGGGGCCTATATCCTTAATATAAGTATCTTGGCAATTATGAGCTTTATACCTAGCTACAAACTTAAGGTAATTCTTTTGGAGAATATTTTCTGATTATTGTTAAACTTCATGATTAGCTTTTGTTCCATATATATGAAATGTCTAAAATGATAAAAATCAAGTATATGTAAAAGAAATTACTGTAGACTATTTTGAATTGCCATAACAATTTGCATAATTAAATTGCAAATGAAAGTATATTGTTTTCTATCTAACTCAAATAAAGCTTGTAATAAACAAGTTATCTAAATTTTATTTGCAGAAGTGAAATAAAGAACACATGCATTTGGGAGATTCCAACCATAATAGTACCTGTGAGTCTGCATTTACTTTCAGTTTGTTGCCATCATGTAATCAGGAGATTTCGGAAAATATTTCTGCCTGTAGTCTGTTTTGCTCTATGGGGAGTAAAAAAAAAAAATGCTCCCTGTCTTTGCATATTTTTCACTGTATAAGCCTATCTTATACTTTATCTGTTACTAAAATATATTTATAGTTAAGCTCCTTAAAATATTTAAATAGGAACTAAACTTAAAATGATAGAAAAATAAAGCTGTTACAATAAAATAATGCTGCTTTAATTCTAGATGATAATACTTATGTTTTTTGTTCTTTTAAAATGCATTTAAGTGTGAAAGAGCCAATTTGAAGAAAAATGTAAAGTAATAGTTTAAAAGATACTTAGCCATCGGAAAACAGTAAATGTGTTATAAAAACAGCTAAAAGTTGGGAAGCCCTGTACAAGGAGATTTTACATGCTGTCTATATATTCTGGAACCCTTACTTCCTCCTTCCCCTCCATACACACACTAGATTCATAGCTCTAAGAGTTATCTCCTGAACTTCAGTGTTAGGTATCCAGTAGCCTTCTGGGAAGTACTATATAAGTCTAAACAGATTCAAAATAAATGAGCCCTGTGTCCCTCACTAGCCAATTTCTTTTCCCTTCATGCCAGTAACTGATTCCACCATTAAGTCAGGAGCCCCAAACAAATAGTAGTTACCTTGGCAGTGCTCTGTATCACTCTCCTGTCTGAACCCTTTATAAACTATATCCTCTCCAAGCTATTATGTGTTACATTTCTTGTTGCTGTGACAAAATACCTGACAGAGTGAACTTAAAGGAGGAAATAGTTTCAGTTGATCATGGTGGGGAGCACGTGGTAAAGCAGACCAGTGTACATCATGGCAGCCAGAAAGCAGAGAGAGAATGCCTATGTCCTTGTAGTTTTTAAACATTGAATCGGTAGCATCCTGTAGTAATGGTTTTGGTAATACCAGTTGTTTACTGGGCAGCCCTATCTTAGGTCATGTGATATCATAGTGAAAAAGCTAAAGGTGTTTTTTGGTGTACCAGTTATTTCTGATCTCTTCCTTTATAGCATTGGTATTAGGCTAGTTTAGGTTCATGTCCTCAAGCTCTTCAGCAAAACTGCTCTCTAGCCCTGACTCTGAAGGTAGGATGGTGTTTGGAAGCCTATTGAAGACATTCTATAAGCAGCAATAAAGTTTGCCTTTGAAGAAAAAGAAACATTGTTTGAATTAAATCTGTCAGTAACTGTGTATCTATCTTTATGTAGACAGAATAAAGGAAGTACATAGAGCTCTGTACAATGGCCTACACATATCAAACTTTATAATAAATGGTGACTATCCGAATAGTCCTGTCATTGTGGAAATCTTGCTGGAGAATACACTTAGAAGGCACACAACTCTAAAACACTAAAATTAACTGACAAAGTGATTGTGGAAGAGAAGTCCTCACTACTTACAATTGAAATTGCTTCATAATGTAAAGACCCTTTCATTGACAGTCTTATTCCAAGATATTTTCCTCATTCAAGGTAGGAAAAATAAAATCAATGGCACATTATTCTTACTATAATCTATTCTGTCTGCTAGTTTGTTCATTGACTGAATGAACATGGGAGCTAAGAACTTGGAATTAATACTCACTGTATGATCTCAGTACTGAAACGTGGCTAACAATCAAACTTACACTAGCTTCTACTAATACTGCTACTGGCGGAAATAAGACAATTCCTTCTTCTAATTTAGGTCACATGTACATTGTAAACCATGCAGTTTCAAACAATTGTTAAAACAAACATCAAAAGCTAGAGCAGACGTCTACGTAGTATATTATTTGAATTTACTTTGTTTTCTATAACTCATAGGTCTCAGATAATCCAGCTAACAAATTTGACACTAAATGTGACTTTAAAACTAGATGGAATCTTAAATATGGGGCCTTTCAGTGTAAGTAAAAAGCATGCATGAAAAAAATGTTTAAAATTCACTGTGCTTAACTGTATCATATGCTCAACCTCTGGAGGTAGTAATATAATACTGATTTTGCAAAAGATGAAACAAATATTAAGTATTTTGGCCAACGTTACTAGTGAGCAGTGGAACTGAAATTTGAGACAAGTCAGTATGGCTTCCGAAAACCCTGAAGGTAATGAACAAATTTAAATTTTTTCATTCTGTTGTCAACATATTATAAATTACTAAGAAGAAAAATATACAGTTTTTAATTCATAAAAATTCTTGTTTTCCATGAATTATTTATTAGTTTGTGTTTTCAGAACTTTTATGAAAGCATCTTTTGGAACTTCAATGTTGCCAATTTTCCTCAGCTTCTTTTTTCCTTCTGCTTGTCTCCTCAAAAGCTTCATTTTTCGGGTAATATCACCACCATACTGAAAAATATTGGAAAGTCAGAAGTCCAAATCACTCCACAGAAAAATATACAATTACATTAAGGTAGCAATATAATCATGACAGTCTTCCCAAATTATTATCCATGAGGTAGACATGTGCAAAATTACTTCTGTAATCTTCTTGCCATCCTACCTTCTCAAAACATGGTAAAGAGTATATTTATTTTGGATGGAGATGAAGATCCCCACAGAAACTTATGTGATTCTAGGTTTGGAATTCTGGATTATATAGCTACACAGGAACTGTCACATAGGCATACATTGTGTCAGAAGCTATATGAAGAATTTAGAAACAGAATTACTCAGTTTTCACAAAACTAAGTTAAGTTTTTAATAGCTTAGACAGTAAACTGTGGCAAAGCAATGTAGGAGAGGTAGGTTTCAATTCCCATACTCTCCTTACTGTAAGGCAGTCACTGTCTTCAGAACCTTTCATTATCTTATTATATTAACAAAACATGTTGCCCAAATCATGGAAGTAACTATTGCAGAATCCTCCCTTAAACAGTATTGCACATAGGGCTGGTGGAGTAAAGAGCCTACCTAGCAAGTGTGAGGCCCTGAATTCAAACCCCAGTACCACAAAAAAACAAAACAAAACAAAAAACCCAGTACTGCATATAATGAATTTTATTTAGTTATTTATTTAGGCAAAACAGATTTGAGCTTCACTTTGCACTTGCAAAGCAGGCACTTTACTACTTGAGCCATACCTCCAGGTCCATTTTGCTCTGGTTATTTTGAAAATGGAGTCTCCTGAACTACTTGCCTTCACTAGCCTCAAATGGCAATCATCCCAATCTCAGCTTCCCAAGTAGCTAAGATTATAGGTATGAGCCACAAGTACCTAACTAATGAAATATTTATATGATGAAAAAGTCATTAAGAATATGGTGAAAATGAGTAAATTATTATGGTCAAGTTGAAATTTACCTATTTTAAAAAGGAAACTTGGAGATGAAATAAAGGGCATATAAAAATGAACAATAGAACCAATATATTTATAGCTCCCTTGATTTTGTACCCATAACATAGATTTTACAAAGTAGAATAATTATAGGTAGATACATACACATTTTGCCAAAACATTTTTTCTATAGGCTTTCATACTGTAAAAGAAGAAATTTTGTTTAAGAACATAATTTTACACTGTTTACAAGTATATTAATTTCAAAAACAATTTGCCCTTTATTAAAAGAAAAGATTTTAATTATAGTGTTAATATTTAAGTAAAATTTTTCTGTAAGCAAATAATTAGGAAGCTCAAATGTTCCTGTATTTGTTTTCATGCACTTAACATAAAACAGCAAATAAACTCAACGTGATCACCAGCATATATCTTACTAAGAACAGGTCAAGGCTTGTGGTAGTCAGGCTCCACTGGGCCAAATTTAAGCATGTGAGACCTTCATAAAGGAATTATATTCTTCACCTAGAAATACTGATATCACTTGAAAAACATTTAAAATGATTCTCTCATTACTGACTTGTCAGAGGGGCTAGTGGATGTATTACTAGATTCAGGCTTTTATAAAACCCATCTCAAGGCAAACTCATTTTAATATATCTGTCCTATCAGTTATACTACTTTTACTATTTCTGAGAAATTACTAGGTCACTAGAGTTTTGAAAAAGTTTCCTTCTTTTCCTTAAAAGTACCATCATCACAATTATGTTAGAATGACTATTTGCTAGTTGTTTTAAATTGCACTTTCCAGGTTGTTCCCTGGTTATCATCTCCACTCTGCCTCTGGGTTTTCATGGAACACAAAATAACTGAAGTAAAACTTACAAAATGAAAGTGCAAATAATGAGGATCAATTTTATATAATTGTGTAAAAATGATCACTGTATTTCACCACTGCTGATATACTAGGTTTTGGTAAGCTAGAATGTTAGCAGTTTTCCACTTTTCATAACTGGAGGTACTTCTGATTTCTAGAAGTCAAGAGGGGAGTGTTGAAAGAGACCTCTTGCACTTGCTGTTCTGAGTTGAGAAGCACATTCAGCATTCTGATTTATGCATTATGTTTTGTGGGTAAGACAGTTTCCTACAGAATTAGCCTATCTTCCATGTCTGCTATAACCCATGTGAAGTGCTTGAATCTTCTCTGGTTTACCTAGAAACTTTCTGGTTCTAAGATATAATATTAAATGTCTCAGGTAAAAAAAAATATAAATACTGTCTATATGAATTGACTGTTATCTATTTGGATAAAATCTTAATGGAATTCCTTACCCAAGAAATTCAATACAGTCATTTTATGAAATGGGTGGAAGTTCTTCAAACCTCAACACATTAGATTAGTTCAAACCCCAGTCCCACCAAAAAAAGCGAAAGCTAAATACATTATATTAACTGTAAATAACAACAGCCAATGGTATACATAAGTAATTTGAAGTAACAGTCATCACTTAAATCAGTGGAACTAATAATCAGATAATTATCACACTGTTTCCACATATAAGAATAAAGTTTAGGCCAATGTTAAGTTAAAATGTTCAATATTTAGGTTTTCAGGACTATCATTTCTAAAACAACCTGGGAACAAATGAATTTGAACTCACGTTTCTCTTGCAATGATTTTACTTCCAATAGCAGCTTGAATTGCTATCTCAAACAGCTGCCTAGGAAGAGAATCCTTTAGACGTTCACATATGGTTTTGCCAACAGAATATGCTTTATCTCTGAGAAAGATAAAAAACACATATTTACATATCGTAATGAGAATATTTGTAGCACTTGAGCAAAATCAATGTCAAGGTGATTTTTCAGGAGGTCAAACAGCAATTATTATCATAAACTTATCTCTAAGTCACAACTTTCCTGATTTGGAAAAATAAATAATATGTGATCTAGTACAGAAAATTTAGAAATATACACCTTAGCACGTTAGTATGAGAAGAAAAAAAAAAAAAAGCATTCTTTTTTTTCTCATTTCTTTTCTCTTTTCTGTGGTCCTGGGGATCTTACCCAGGGTCCTTGCCCAAGCTTGACAAACTCTTGCCACTGAGCCACATCCCCAACCCTCCAAAATATTTTAGATGTACTTTTCTTGTCCACAGAAAATTAGTTAAAATTTTCAATGTTTAAAGGTACCCTTCTGTCCATTTTTCTGTGTACATGCTTATTTTAGTTAGATCAAAGTATATATATCCTACCTTAACATGTTTTTTCTATGTCACTAAATATTACATCATGATATAATTTTAATGACTAAATATACTAAATACAAGGGTATTTATATTATTTACAATTTATTTAAGCAATCTGGTAATTTGTGAACATGTAGAATAGCTAACTTTTCATTATTATGTTTTATCATATCTGATTTTTCATTATAATGTTTTGTGACCATAAAAATGTTTGTTTTCAATCCTAAAGCCATCATAAAGTTTTAAAAACACTTTCTTATACTTTAACATGGTAAGGGAAACATTTCTTTCCATTTCTTTATAGTTATTGTAATTCCATACTCCCTTTGCATTTCTGAAGTCTAGAAAGAAGCATGGAAAAACAATAGAAAAATTAAGAGTGAAAACAATTTAATTATCTCTAAAGTTTTTCATTCACATTTCATGATTAGTTTCTATTCAACTTACTTGTGTACAACAGTCACTAGCTCCTCTACAATATTTCCATTCAGTAGAATATCCATTTTTACAAGTTCTGCAGCCTGGTAGCCTGCATCTTCATAATCAAAACTAATAAAGCAAAAAATCCAAATGATAAATACTATAATTCTAGGAGACTGCACTTTCCTTTCTTTATAAAATGTCTTTTTCCTACTACCTTCATTACCTGTCCCCCTCAAATATCTTTACTGTCCATCAAAATATTAACGTACATAGTTGCATGTGAATGGATCTAAATGTCCATAGTAAAGAAGAAGCTTCAATTTCTATTCATGAAATAAGGGGCAAAATGAAAGAGAACATTTCCAGAGAAGGAAAAGAAAGTGGTTAAGCCACACTAGGAAAATGGATCACTGGAGACAAATGTCACCTCTCCAATCCCAGCAGTTGGTGGGCTTTGGCTAATACTGTATCTTAATTAATGGGCCGTTCTTAAGATTCATGTTCCAAAATTTTATAATTTAATCAGTTTTTCGAGAGAATGTATTATACAAATAGTGTTTTCCAATCCAAGTAATAAGAAACCTAATCTCTAATCAAAACATAGGTATTCTAGTGTTACTTAGAATATGGGAAATACATTTGGAAATCTACAAGTACACTAAATTTGGGGGTTAGGGTCTGAAAGCAAATAACTATTTGGTTTGGTATTAATATTTTACCTAGCATATCCAGAAGACAAGGATTTCAAAGAATCATAAAAATCTACCACAATTTCATTCAAAGGCAGGAGATATTTAAGCATAACTCTATTCTCATCAATAAATACCATATTTTTCTGAACTGCTCTTCGAGCCTAAAAAGAGAAGAAAAAAAGGTGTTTAATAATAACTTACTCAAACAATGATTTAAACTGATACTGGCAGATGCCAGTTATCAAGGTACAAATTGAGATGTTTTATGGTATAAAAACGTATGAGCAATATTTTCTAATACAGGAAGAACCATTTTGTATTTGAGTTACTTTATTCTTACCACCAACGCTTTTTAATTCCTATCTTTATCTCACAGTTTTAGCTCTTCATATTATATATTAATTTTGTTTAACAATAAATCAAATGTAAGTATACATAAAAGCAAAGTCCTAATTGCTTTTTATACAGTTAGATACAGAGAAATTAAGTGATCTGCCAAATTTACAATCTAGTTTGTGACAAGAACTAAAGCTCAAGTATTGTAGGTAGCATTCGACACACTTTATACTAGGTATTAATCTACTTCAAATAGCTATTTTTTAAGGGAATGATTACAACCCATTTGTAGATTACATTTACTATAATATGGCAAGAAGTATAAAGCAAAATGAGAATTCTTTCTAATAATTTGCAGGACCTGAATTTTGTAGTTGTCTTTCAAACTGTATTCAATTTCAAGTGCTCAAAAAGGCAAGGACAAATCAAACTTTTAGCTCCCTCACGATGATTAAATTTCTTTGAGCTTTTCCTTTGACCTAAAATAACAATTTTAGAAATTAAACACAGATGACCAAAAATCTGATTTATATTTTTCTGATATGTTTTTCTGATTTAAAATCAAATCAGTGCATCTGTATTACATCTACATCTCTGGATATAGATATGGAGGGAAATCATTCAAAACCAGAGCTGGGAACCACTTTCAGAAACCTAGAACCCACTTCTGTATTAAAGTGTATTCCATTTCTACCTGGCAAAGCCCCATTATTTTTCCAGTGTATTCATCTGGTGTGATAATAGTGCCCAAAACAACTGGCTCCAAATATTCCGTTACTTTTGACTTCTCAGGGAATTGTGCAGGATTGATGATTATGATTTCTTTTTCTCTATACTCCTAAAAAGTAGAAAATTCAGCCATAGTTAAAAAGAAATGTATCTCTTGTAGTTTTCTCTTAATTTATACTATGTTATATAATTTATTTTATTGAAAGTTTTGCAATCAATAAAGGTATAGAATTCCTAAAGGTTAGACTATTACCTTATTTTAATATTGTTTTTCTATACTTTTTTAGAAAAAAAATCTTCCAAGTATAATTATTTTATATTAGTAGTAACTAGTAAATAATACATAGTTCCTTTCATGCAGAGGTTTTTAATTTTTTTATTATCATATTAGATAGTATATTTTGGTTATTAACATTTAAAGAGCACATTACATGAGCTTTTTAGAAAAAGTATGACAAACAATTATCTGTTAGCTTGACCCTTATAAAGCATTAGTTAACTGACTAAATATTTTAGAAAGCATTCACAGATGCCAGAGTTAGTAATTTAAAATTGATAAATTCCCACTCAGAATACAATGTTGTTTCTCATTAACTTGAAATTAAAAATTTCCAAAACTAGAATGAATGCTTTACATTTTATAAGTTACTTATGACCAAAATTATATTTTTCATCTTTGTGCTGAATTTAGAATCATACCTTTAAGGGGCTGGTATAGTGGCTCAAGTAGTAGAGCACCTACCTACAATAGTACCTTCACTACCAATCCCAGCTCTTACTATAGTAACAGAATAATTTTAATAATGTCAAGATCACATTAAGAAAAATGCAAATTTTTTTTTCAAAAGTTTCTTCATTGCTAAATATAAGGCAATTCAGTTTTTATTGCTACTAATGAATAATATATTTTAAAACCTAGTCAGCTACTGATTATACTAAAAAGTTTCTCTTGCATTCTGTACACACATGTATATATATATTTACTTAGTAAGTTTTCCCTTTTATTCTCATACAAAGCAGTATTAAATATTGCAGTACCTTTATTAGTTTTGCTGATGAAAGCACAGCTTTGTACGGAACAGTAGGGGTTGTTAAAATAACAGAAGTATTGTATTCTTGCTCTAGTCGCTGATTGAAAACTTCCATGTGCAAAAGTCCAAGAAATCCCAACCTGGGTGAGAAAAAAACAAAGTCCAAAATGTTCATATCACACGGGTTCTGTTTTCTTTGATGAACACATTGTTACTTTAAAGGAGAAGAGTGAAATCAAAAGTCATTCAAGCAATTCATGTCAATTAAGTGCTTGTATAATTTTATTAAATAAGATTCAACTCTTCCATTGGAAATCTATTTTAAATTACTATAAAACTTAAACATAAAATATGAATCCACAGTGTGAAATAGCCATACATAAAATGTCTTAGTTCATCTTACTCATGTAAACTGATCTTCAGCAACTTTATTTTCCTATAAAAGCATGACCCTACAACATGAATGAGTCTTACCTCCACCCAGCACCCAGGGCAAGGCTACTGTCCCGATGAACTGTCACACTGGAGTCATTCAAAGTCAGTTTTTCTATAGCACTCTTCAGGTTATTATATTCAGATTGATCTATAGGGTACATTCCTAGGGATACAAGGAATTTTAGTTATCACATGTGATTAGCCGCCTATAGAGCAAACCTACTATGTGGTACTGCCAATTTCAAAATTAACCATTTAGTTTTATATTACTTTCATATATTCTATTCATCAAAATATTGGTTTGCTAAAATTCTGTGATTAAATTAAACTTGTTCCAAATTATCTTGCACATTACTAGCTTTAATGAATCTGGGTTCACACTCCAGACAATGTTCTTATGCTTTTGTAGAAATATAAAGGAAATAAAAACAGTAAAGAACCATGGGAATTAGACATAGTCACACAGTCCTAATTAGGCAAACTGTGTTTATTTCAAAAAACAAATAAGATACTCCTTGACTATAAATAAAACTATTTTATGGTAAAAAAAATAAGAGCAAAAATAAAAACTACTCCGAACTCTAATACTCTAGGGCAGATTATTTACTAATACCAAAGATACATTTTGCTTTTAGCAATTTACTGACAAAAACACCGATGGGAGATAGTACTGATTTCTGATTTTCTTTGAATAAAGATCAAAGATCTATGAAGTCAACACCTCACAAATCTTCTAAAATGCAAATGACTGACTTTGCTTAAACATGAAGCATAATCTGCAATGAGAGAGACTTCTTGGAGAAAACCAAGGGCTAGATACTCATGTCTCAATACCACACAGCAGTAAAAGGTTCTGGAGCTACACATAATTGAGACTACACTATTCCTCTACATTGACAGTGTACAATACAACGTGAAAGAAAGCATGGCTAAGAGGACACTCAGTAAATGTCTACTGATAATTAGTAATAAAAACATCCTAATTAGATAAAAAGTTTCAAACATAATAATGGGCTAACTTCATAGGGAATTAACAACGAAATTGATATTACCAAGCTCTCTTATACATTTGCTTATTGCTTATTTATTAAGTAATCCTAAATGATCTCCCATATAAATTCCATCATATATATGAAACATACACATACATACACACATATACATAAAACAATACACAGTTTGTTTTTGAGACACAGTCTTGCTATATTGCCCAGACTGCCCTTGAACTTGCAATCATTCTGCTTCTGCTTCCCTGGTGCTGGAATTATAGATGTGCATCACCACTCCTGGCTATAATTGATATATAAATAGAAACAGTGCACACGCACACATGAACAACAGATTATTCTGTCATTAGCAATTGAAATAACCAGAATGTGTATTTGTCGTCTAGTAAACTTACTTTCACTGCAAAGACAGACTTAAGTTTAAAAAATATTTTAGCCCTCAACCTTTGGATTTGTGAGCTCCTCACCTGCAAATACCATTGGTTTCGCTGATTTAAACCCAGGCAAGGGCTCCACAGGATGATTATGTAAATGTAATGTATCTCCTATTTGTGCTTCAGTGACATCTTTCATCCCAGCAATCAGATAGCCCACCTGTCCTGCATATCTAAATAAAATTATTATATGCAAATATTTACTGCTTTACTGTTTCAAGTGCGTACTCATTAGTTCTACCTTCCATGGAAACAATCACATACTTTCCAAACAAAACTTCATCACAAATAAGTACCACATATTAATCTCTAAGGCTTTTCAGCCAAAGAATACCATGTCTATCCATTACCCAAAAACTTCTGCATGAGCCTAAAGTCTTCATGACTGTGCTCACCTTTTGCAAATCAAATCACTGCTTCTAATATAAAATGTAAAAACAAGTTTCACTGTACAAAAGCATAGTATACTATTTGCAATACCTACTTTATTAATCAGTTGCTACAAATGTTCTCTAACAAAAAAAAATTTTATTTTTTTTTTTAGTGGGACTAGGGTTTGAACTCAAGGCTTTATGCTTGCAAAACATGTGCTCTACTGCTTGGACTACACTTCCAGCCCATTTTGCTATGGTTATTTTAGAGATGGGGACCTCTTGAACTATGCCTGGGATGGTCTCAAGCCATGATCCTCTTGATCTCAGCCTCCCAAGTAGCTAGGATTATAGGCATGAGTCACTGGCACCCCACTAAAAATGTGCATTTTTTAACCAAGCAGAAGAATGTGAACTCTTCAACAAACCTAGTATTTATTTGATATTCATAGGAAAACAGCCAATTCTAAGATTTCAGAATTTTAGCATAGTGTTAAAAAAATTCTATACAATAACAAGCTAATTTACATGTAGATAAGGTACAAGAACCTTAAATAAAGATGAAATAATGTTTAATACAGCAGAATATAAAGATACATTTCAGTAAAATTAAAATAGACTTTAAATACAGACTATAATGAACAACATAATGCTTTTTAGACACACATCATTAAACCCTCATGTGATCTATATAGGCATCTGGTTCAATACCTTAATTTTTACATCTGAGCAAACAGGACTTTGGAAACCTCAAATTATGTGCCCAGGACCACGTCCCATCAGTATGTAACCTGGAGTAGGAAATCAGGAATGTTTTGTAAGAGAATTCACATCTGTTTTCTAATGCACACTATTGGTATTCCCATTCCTGATGAATGAGGTTTTGCCATGAATTCCACACTAAAGAAACAGTCAACTTTCTATACTAACTTTATGTTGGAAAATTTAGTTGTAATGAAACTGTCAAAAAAGCCCAGAACACTCAATATGGGTATGGGTGGAGAAGAATGACTCTTTCACTGTCCCATCAAATATATCCACATGGGACCCTAGCCACTGTGGTTTGTTACATTTGTCACAACTAGTCTGAAGAATAAAACTATATTGTATATCCATAATATTTCCTATCACCCTTTATACATGACATCTTTTTTGACAGAGCATTTGCTGTATAGCTGCATTAAATCAGGTTTTATTTTTTTCTTAAGTTACTAAATTAGGAACATTCAAAGCACACAAAATTGAAAGAGGCAGAGACATATATGTGAACACATTTTAATTATTATTAGAGATAACTTACAATTTATGAGTCGACTGCTCATTAGGATTCAAAACTCCTACTTCATTAACTTCGTATGTCTTCTGAGTATGTGCAGATACAATTTTATCTCCTTTGGAAACCATGCCATCAAATAATGCTACATTGGCTATCACACCTCTATACTGGTCAAACATGGAATCAAACACCAGAGCTCTCAGTGGATTTTTGCGATGCACTTTAGGACTAGTAAATATAAGTTAAAAAATACATACATACTAAATAAAAATCTTAATAAAATGCCTGTTTTCAAATTAATTTATTCTAGTTTTAAGAAAGGTTTTTTCCCCCCCAGCTAACAAAACCAAAGAACCCTTCAGTAAAATATGGTATATTATGTTTAATTCAACCTTCAGTTTTAAGTAAATGATCATTTTAATTTTTGGTGGTAGGTAGCTGGGTTTGAACCCAGGGCCTTTTGCTTGCTAAGCAGGCACTCTACCACTTGAGCCACACCCCCCAAACCTTTTTACTTTAATTGTTCTACAGATAACGTGTCATGTTGTTGACCAGGATAGCCTTGAACCTTGATCCTACCTATGCCTCCCATGTATCTGGGATTGCAGTATGCACCACCACATCAAGCTTGTTCTTTGAGATGGAGCCTTGGTAACTTTTTGCCCCAGGCTGCCTCAAACCATGATCCTCCTACGCCCATGTCCCAAGGAGCTGGGATTACAGGTATTAACTACCCTGACTAGCCTCATTTTTAAATTATTTATGAACATATTTACTCATTATAAAGCGAAAAACAATTGCCAATGTACTTATTATAAGTCAAGAAGAGATTCCTATTGTCCTTTTAACTTACTGCACTATATTTTCCTTCTGTATATCATTAAAAGTAAAGTAAAAAAATTTTCTCACTGCAAGAGTATTTGCCATACCCAATAAGTTTAAAATAACAGATCAAATGAATGGCCTTTGAACTAGTAAATATAAGTGAACAGTACAAAGATCACAAAATGCTTACGGGGGTATTCTTTCTATAACTGCCTGAAGAACACTTTCGACATTTGTTCCAAGTTTAGCAGAAATCTGAAAATATAAAAATTGAAGCATTAAAGTTCAAGGCTACACTTTTCCATCCTGGTGACCTATGATTTACAATTAGAAGGAAGAAAGAATTTTGTTACTCATTTTCTTGAATGCAGCAAAAGGAAAAACACAAAGCAAAAGAAATCTCAAGGTGGTTGTGTGGAAAGAATAAACATGGATGGCCCGCAAATGTGAGGCACATTACTATTTTTTTTCCTCACACTAAAAACAAGCTGAGACCATAAATCACATGCCCATGTTCTCATTAGTAAATGGGCTGTCTCTGAACTCTTGATTTCAAAATCTCCCTGAATAACTACCCCTTACTTTCAAACTCATTCTAGACCAAGATTTTTCAGCCTTGGCTCTAATGACATTTTGGAGCAGATAATTCTTTGGGGAAGCTGTCCTGTGCATATAGAATGTTTAGCAATAACTAGGGCATTTCACAAGATGCAGTTGTACCCCTCCCAAGTTTGACAACTAAACATGTTTTCAGACAGACCGCTTCCCACTGATGACCACTGCTATAGACTCTAGAACTTTCTTTGCAGTAGTCTTAACTTCTAATCTGCTGACTGTACTACTCTGTTTAATCCATTAGCCTTTCCTTTCCAGTCTCTCCCAGGTGGGACTCCATGGTTCACTATAAATATATTCACTCTTCATGAACTCTTTCTATTATCTCCCTATCATAAGCAGCTGGCAAAGTCTCAATCTTGACTACATCCAAGTGTGTGCCTTTTTAAATGCATATATACATTAATCCATGTGTGTATTAGATTCACATTACTGAGAGATTATTTCATACCTGTTAATCCATACACTGTCTATCCTGGCCAGTTCACTCTCAGATGATGACTTTCTTATTTCATTAAAGAAACAGAAAATGCCAAAATTCCCAAATCTAAACATGCAAACTTATCAGTACCTTATCTACAAATATTCTGCATTCTCTTGTTACAACATGAAGGTTACTTCCACTTCTATGAAAGGTTAATCCTTCCACACTTCTCTTCTGACCTCTATCCTCTCTTACTTTTCTCAGGTTCTTACTCCCTAATTTGACAGGAATATGGTCTTATATCTAGGACTCTTCCCAAACTACATATTCGTCCTAAAAAAATCACATCCATTTCACAGGTTTAAATACCACATGTATGCTGATAACTTTTGTTTTTTTGAGAGTAAAGCAAGTGCTAAGTTTATTAAAAAGACAGCAAAAGCTCTCTGACCAGAGGGGTAAGCCCCTGATAACTCTTAGCTCTCTACCTTTGAATCACACCTTTCCATGAAAGCCAGAATCATATTCACACACAGTATCTCCTCCTGGATGTCTAATAGACATTCCAAACTCACTATGTTCAAACAGCTCCTTATTTTCCTTCTAGATTTTTTCCTTCTCTACTCTTCTCCATATTAATAAATGATAAGAACATTCAACCAGCTGCTCAAACTCCCTGATTATTCCCTTTCTTTCACTTCTTTACATATAATTCATCAGCCAGTCTTATTTTATCTACAAAATAAGCATCAAACTTATAAAATTCTCTAATGTCTCCAGCAAAAACTTACCCATTACAATTTTGCATTTGGGCTACTAGTGTTAGCTGGTCTCGTTGCTCTTCTTGTGCCTCTCTAATTGGTTCATTTCCCTCTCTTGCATTAAAATCATTACCTTTTTAGAACTCCTTGGCACTGCCAGAGTATCACCAGTATGACTGACATCCTGCATACTTCTAAAGCCATCCTGCCCAACTTGTAGCATTTTTCTATCCCTTCAGTGTGCCAAATCTTACTCTAACTTAAGGCCTCTGTAATTGCTTTTTCCTCTTCCTAGAATGCTTTCCAAAACATCATCTTTCCTTCAAGTGTCAGTTTTTCTCAGAGAACCTTTCCCTAAGTCACCACATATCATAGCATCTTTCTGAGAAAAAAAGATTTTCCTGTTGTAAATTTATTATAGTTCACCTAGAACAATACAATGTGTTAAATGATTTTCCTGCATAAAATCTGTCCTATTCAGTAATTCTTATGCTTACTTTTTTTTTTATTTATTCACTGATTGGCTTCCCAAGTAAAAAGGCAGGGCTCTAGTCTGTCTGGATTACTGCCTTACCCCCTCACTGACAAATACCAAGTAAGTATGCAAATGAACTTGGTAGAGATAAAAGTCAGAATAATTACATTTTAATAAAATAATTTCAATTGACTTTCTTATTAAGAAGTCTCTCCTCTTTATAACAGAGCCACTAAATCATGTATCCAAGAAAAAATTATTAGTTTACTCTGTTACTACCACATATATGTAATCATATATTTTATTTAGGATGAAACTTTACTACCTGAAAATTGATTTCAAAGACAAGTAATATTGGAAAGAAAATGTTACATTGCTCCAATGATGTATTACACTATAATGTACCATAGCACTGTTTGTGACTGTAATAAGAAAACCACCATTTGAAAAGTAAATAAAAACTCAAACTTAAAATGGAATCAATTTTGACATAAATAAGTCTATTACTATATCTAGCTAGCATTTTTTTAATAAAAATCTCTTTGCCAATTTTAAGAATAAAACATACAAATGCTTTGAAATTAGTTTATACCTGCTTTATAAAGATAGTATTTCTATAGTTGTAAAATGTTGCAATGAGTTTCTAAAGGCTTATGTTTTAGTCCTGCCACACTGGCGAGCTAATCCTGAGATCTTGGGAAAATGATAAAAATCTTTGAGCCTCAATTCCTTTGAATGTAACACATTGCAATAATTTCTGTATGTCCTGACATTGTAAAATATGCTTCTGGTAAGATCAAATAAAATAATAGAGAACACTGTAAAAGTATAAAAACATAAAATTCCAGGCAATCAAATACCATGAAACTTCACTTAGGCCAATTACCTGAGACATTTAAAACTATAATCAATAGACTTAAAAAAAAGAAATTTTACCTTAATACATTCATCACTTGGAATATCAAAAACTTTCTCAATCTGTTTTTCAACTCTTTCAGGATCAGCATTCTTCAAATCTATCTTTTAAGAAAACATCCATTTTGTATCAGTATGGAAAAATAAAATGCATTATGTATTAACCACATTTGGAGTTAAAAGCTTTCTGCTTCAACCTAAATGACCCCTGTATAATATTTTTCAAAAAAATTTAAAAATTGTATATAAGCAAAACAATTTTAACAAGCATGACTACTGAAAGCTAGAAATCAGGCAGCAAAAAAGGCAAAACAATGTAAGAAGGGCAGAGAGTACAGTAATAACTTAGCACCATGTGAACTTAATTTTAAGAGTTAAACATAACATGAAATCTAACAAGCTAGGCGTCTGCATATGAGCAGCCTTGATTCTCTTAAACTTAACTCCAACATTAAAAAATATAATTTAATATACAGAAATTAGTGTAGCTATGAACCCTTCATAAGTGGTACTGTTTTCTCTTAGATCTCAGCCCCTTTTTGATTCCTATGTATAGTTTATTATAAATGACATGTTTTGTCTACCCTGTATCCCTCTGCTACAGAAATGGCTTCTTTCACCACATATAATTCAGAGGAACTGCCTTCTCAGCCAGGTGTAAAGGTGTAGGAGTCTGACCTGCAATTCTGCCATATGAAACACATGGACAAATCCCACTAATATATTGAATAAATACCTGGATATCCCTCATACTTTTAGCAGTCTTTCACCTCAAATTTAAATACTAGATATGGTTTTAGAAAGTGAAATAATAAATAGCATTACTGTCTCAGTGTAATTACCTTGTTTATAACTGGAATTATTGATAGCTGTGCTTCAAAGGCAAGAAAGAAATTCGCCACAGTTTGGGCTTGAATACCCTGGAAATGCAAAACATGAGAGCCTGAGATGACCATTTTAACATCTAGCACAAAACTTAAATTCAAGGCTATTCCATACATCTTCATCAAAACTGAGTTTTGTATCATTCAATAGTAAAAGTAAACAAAATGCCATATATCTGTCTGCTGTAGTTTGGATCTTGAATGTCCCCCAAATCCCACGTGTGAAAGGCTTGGTCCCCATGGTTGCATTGTTAGGTACAGGGCTTAGAGGGAGGTTCTTAGGTCACTGGAGGCATGCCTTTGTAATGGATTATGGGATCTTGGTCCTTTCCTCTTCCTCTGTTTTGCTTTCTGGATGATAAAGTGAGTGGTTTTGCCCTGCCATGTACTCTTGTCATGTGCTGCTTTGCCACAGGACCAAAACAATGGACCAAATCAATCTTGGACTGGAACCTCAAAAACTGTGAGCCAAAATAAACATTTTTATCTTTATAATTTATCTCAGGTTTTCATTATGGTGACAGAAAGCTAACTAATTCTTCTTTTCCTACTTTTCTCTCCAGCCTGTGTCTTAGGGTTCAAAATAAAGAATATCAATGGTAAAGTAATAGTGAAATCAAGCAGACTACACCAACATACATTCTCCTAAGTTTAACATAGGGAGCCTCAGTAGCAGTATAAAGCAAACTATAGTACCTACACTTCTATACATTTCAATTATTAACTGGAATAATTCCTTCTAGTTCAGAAAGCATTTATGAAGGTCCTTCTTGTTCAGAAACTGTCAGGCACTAGAGACACAAGGACTTCAAAGCGTACTGTACAACAGTCCTGTGATGAATGTGCTAAAACTTAGCACTATGTACATAAGCTGTAGAGACTGACTTTCCTTGGCAGGATCAAAAACCTCTTAATACAGTAACAATAACACCTTGGAATTGTGAATGAAGACTTCATGAGAAACTGAGATTCATCAAAATCTTACTTTAGTTTATCATAGCTCCTATATGGTTATATACTGAATATGTTTTTGTAGTTTATGTTTGTACCATAACAGAATTTGGTAATATTATTTAAACCTAACACTTTATACATTGTTGCCTTACAATCACCTAAAAGGACTTGAAAACTAAAGCTTTTCAAGCTTTTATAAAAATTGATACGGAAACCTCAGATTACTTCCACAAGAAAAATAACAATCTTTTGAACAATTCTTCTGATAACCTTAAAAGATTTAAAGGTTGAACTACTTAATCCCATAAAAATCTTTATTTAGTAAAATTTCACATTAACAGTATCAAACCAAATGATTTTGAATGAGTAATACAATAAATTTGGTTTTTTTATTCAAACACAAAAATTCTATTACCAAAATACATTTTAAGGATGTCACATCATATAAAATGAAAAAAATCCTACCTCATTTGCATCAACCACAAGTAAAACACCCTGGCAAGCAGAAAGTGATCTTGATACTTCATAACTAAAATCAACATGGCCCTAAGAAACAAAAATATTAGTAGCTTAACATTAGCTGTGATTTTTTTTTTAAGGTAGGGGAGTTATGGCAAAATACTGATTCTACTTAATTAAAAAGATGTTAAACACCTTTCTCTTTTTTTGACGACTTCTTAAAAAGTTACACTAACAAGATCAATGAGAAAACAAAAGGCAAAGGTTTAAAATGCAGCTTGAAAATTATATTTTTTTTGCACTATTAAAGCAACTTTAACAATACATGCAAAATTAATACACAACTTACTGGTGTATCAATGAGATTTAAAAGATATTGCTTTCCTTGAAAACTGTAAAATAGAGATGCTGTCTGTGCCTTAACAGTGATTCCTCTTTCTCGTTCCACTTGCAGTTTATCAAGGACCTGCTTGTTATTCTTTGTTTTATCAATTGTTCCTAGAAAAAGAAACACTTACTGATATTACTCTGGATTTAAAAAAAATAAAAACTGCATATAAAATTAAAACAAATTTAAGAGTAGATGGTAAAAATAAATTACCAATTACTGCACTTCATTAAGAATATAACATAAAATGGAAATACCTGTCAGTTCTAGGAGCCTATCAGCTAAAGTACTTTTGCCATGATCCACGTGTGCAATAATACTGAAATTTCTAGTATCTTCAACAGGAAATCTAGACATGTCAGGTTTTTCCTAGAAAGAAATAGCACAGGAATACAAATTTTGCATAATATGAAATAAGTATGTAACTCAAAGATTATGTTAAACTTCAAACAACTCACTTATTTTAGCATGTATATAATGTTTATAGTATTTTTCTGACAATAAAAATATATGGCTAAGTTCATTATTAAAGACCAGATTACAAGAGGACTCATCTATCAGTTTCATAGTCAAAGGTGACCGTATAGCTATGTGAAAATTTCTTCTTTAATACTTCCATCACTTATAAGGCCAATTAAGAATTTATTTTCATGGATAGAGAACACAAGTTACCTAAACCTCTGAATAGTGTAAGAATGTCTTATCTTACAAAAAGAAAGGCAAAGAAACTATAGAAAAGCTGAAAAGAATGAATAAAAGGAAATTATCTACTCATCACATAGTGAATCACAAATCAGGGTTATTTAAAAATCTGTGTTCCTAACAGAAGCTTCAAAAATTTAACTGAGATACAATTTTGTTACTTCTCTGGAGAGAGGAAAAAAGATTATATCAGCAACAGTTTTATCACTTAAAAATTTTAAATATTTAAAAATGAAACTCCTGGTTTTTAGTGCACACATTTTACTGAGGAGCATCACAAACTGTTGAAAATAGGTATTTAAACCAGGCACGGTGATACATATCTGTAATCCCAGCAGTGGGAAGGCTGAAGCAGGAGGTTTACCAGGAATTCTAAGCCTAATGGGTTAAACAGTTAGTTCCAGTCCAGCCTGGGCTACATGGCAAAACCCTTATCTCTAAAAACAAAACAAAAACAAAGAAAACGAAAGAAAATTGGTATTCAAATAAAATGCCATTTTTTGTATTCTAAACATTTTTTCCAATTGAATCAATATTTCATAACCAGCTAATGTGAAATTATGTGAATTATAAAATTCGCTTTAATAATTTTTAATCATTTTGATATAAGGCAGACAAAAGTACAATTATACCTTGAAGAATTCTTTTTTTAATAATTTTTTTAGGATATACTCATGATATGGGGGAGGGGGGTTCAAAGTAACAATTCCAATTAGACTTAAATTGTACATTACCTTAAAGAATTGTTTAAAAAAATGTATCCTAAAAAATAAAACTGACATTTTGCACTGTAGGTTGTTTTTACCTCCATTTAAATCAAAGGAATGCAGAACTGCAACATTTTTAAGAACTGATTTTGCAACATACACAAATTCATTTTTAAAACCACAGGACCCTGGCACTGAGACTTACACCTATAATACCTGCTACTTGGAGGCAGGGTTCAGGAGAATCATGGTTCAAGGATAGCCAGGAAGAAAAGTTCCGACGACCCCGTATCAATCAATAAAAGTTGGACACAGTGGGGTGCATGTCACCCCAGCTCCACAGTCCAGGCCCGACAAGAATATGATACCCTTATTGGAAAAATACCTACAGCAAAAAGGGCTGGGGGTGTGACTCAAAGAGGGAGAGTGACCGCCTGGCAAGCCAAAGGTCCTGAGTTCAAACACATTACAAAACAAGTCCAGAGGCATTTTTAGAAAAGGTCAGTATTGAACTAATTACACAAAGCTTTGTTTTTACACTAACCTATAACTTGGAATCAGACACTTCCCTTTTCTACCTAAACTTTATGGTTTCAGTTATCAGATATATACACAGGCTTGTTCTAGCTGAAAAAGTGTAATACTAAACAAAAAAAGGAAGCTAAAACATAACCAGGACTTCTTGCATTGCAGGTGCTGGGCTTAAAAGTTCCAAGCCTTACATCATAGAAACCTCGCAAATAGCCAATGGATATTTAATCTCACTCAGCAAACGAATTAAAGAGTCAGAGAGAGGAACGGATGTTATACTAACAGCGTCTCAGGTTTTTTGGTGAATTAAGTACATATAACATGCAAAGCGATTAGACCAGTGCCTCCCGTTAGACAGATCACGGTATCAGTTGACATTACAAACTCGGACTCCTAGGGGGTTGCGGACTTGCCCATGATCTCCGCCGCCGTTTACATGATCAGAAGCTGGGGTCACCGCTGCCCCAGGAAGCCCGGCGCATTTATTTCCGACCGGGCACGTGGCTGACCCGAGGCTCATGGCCACGCTGGCGGTCACCTTGAGCTCTGCAGAGCTGTAGCGCCTGTTGGTAGCCCAGGGCTCCGCAGCAGCCGCGTGGGTCGGCATAGGTCGGGGCCTGTTCAGCGCGGGTCTTGCGGCCCCGGCGGCCCATGGCACGAACACCCGTCCACGCCACCAACCCCGACCCACGAGGATCCACATGCCCTGGGCGGAAGAGGCGTCAAGAGAGGGCTCGGAGAGACGAAGGCATCATAGCTCGAAGCTTCGACTACAGCAGAGCGCCCAACACACAAACCCAGGGCAACAGAGGAGACAGAGCGCACGGCACAGAGCAGCCCAGCCGGCGGCGCCGGCCTCCCGACGTCCTGACGTCAGCGCGTCCGCGGTAAGTGACGTCAGCCGAGACTTCCGGTCCCTTATAGGGATGCGGCGCGAAGAGTATGGCTCTGTTTTCCCTCATCTGCTCGCTGCCCGGCGGCGCGTTCTGTGGGTTCCTAGGCCCGGTTAGGAGGTGACATGGTGGGAGTGCGGGCTGCTGCAGCCGCGAGGCGCCTCCTCAGCCTACGCCGCGCTGGCCGCTTCCCCACGCGACCAGGCTGGATGAGCGGCCCTGGCTAGGTCGGGGGGTGGCAAGAGATGCAGTTAGCCGCACGACCCATTGCCAGTGTAGCAATGGAAGTTTCAAAATCCGGAAATCGAAATGCATTCCCCATGTTGTCAGGCGCAAATACTGAACTGCGTCTGAAAGGAAATGGTCATAACATTGTAATAGTGATCTAGGAAACTTAGAGCAAGGAAGGAGGGTGGGAAAAGATCCCAGTCTGATTTTTTTTCTTTTCTTATTTGTCATACTGGGGTTTATACTCGGCCTCAGGCTTGCTAGACAGGCGCTCAACCACTTGAGCCACGCCCCTTCCCCCAGCTCTTTTTGTTTTACTTATTTTGGGGATTGGGTCTTGTTTCCTGCATAGCTGGAATGACAGGTGCCCTTTCGCTACATCAGGCTTGTTTGTTGAGATGGAATCTCTCTGACTTTTTGCCAGGGCTGACCTCAAACTGATATCCTCTGGATCTCACATCCCCAGGTAGCTGGGATTACCGGCCCACCTTGTTGGGGCCAGCCATTCTGATCTCCATGGTTCCATCATCTTCAAGTTTCTATTTCATCATACGTTTACCGTACAGAGCATCGAGGTCTGACAAAATAAGAATGAGACCTGGACAGCATCTCATACTGTATGTCCCAGTATTTCCCTTGGGCTTTTCTGAGTATCTAGACTGGGCAAAGGAGGGAGATGGAGGTGTGTGCATCAATATTATTTCCAAATCTTTTGAGTGTATGTTCATTTTTGAGATTTCTTAGGATCAAAAAATTCAGTTGCAGGCTCAAGTCTTTGGAACTATGATGACTTAAAGCAGTTCTTGTTACATGACTATTTGTACTATTTTGTTAGAGAATTGACTCTTGAAATGCAATGAGTGTAATACTTTAAATCTGTGTCGTCCACACTAATGATTTCAATATTATCCTCATTGACTTTCACAGTATCATCATTGATTTTCACCATATCAAGTGAAAAGGTAAACTTCTGACATACTATTGCATTGGGGAATATGGTCCATAATGAACTAAACTCAACTTGAATTTATACAGAGGCCATTACGTGTTTTAAAGGGAGAGGAGGGAGCAGAGAGGAGAAGCAACTGAACTTGAGCAGAATAAGGAAAAATTTACAAAAGATTGCCTGGATTCCATGAGAGATCCATTTGATTTGTTAACTGCTGCTTATGAAAGTGGAACTCCTAACCCCTCTACAGATGCTGTGAGAATGGGCTGCTATCTTCAGGTGTTAAGTAGAAGAAACAGGAAATTCTTTTGGCATCCTTCGACTTTTCATTGAGAGAAACTTAAGGGGCCTGGAGTCATCATCCAAAGGATGCAGCCTTGAGCTATTGGAAACTCCTTACTGTTTCTTCAAATATTTTGATATGATGGGATGGGGGCAAAAGTGTATGAATCACTGATGCTGAAAGTCTTTAGATTTTATAGTCAAGTCTGCTTGAGAAGGGGGCTCAGAGGAGCCTATCTAGAATTTGGTTAATCTTTGTCAATCCTTATGCCAGTATTATATATTTTACTTAATATTTTTCTTTCTTTATTTTGACCATATGAAAATGAGGGAGTTTTATTAGTTACATATTGTTCTACAGAGCCAACAGAGAGCTTTAGAACAGAAGGATATATGCAGACAGGCAGCTTCAACTACACACAGGCACCCCAGGAGCCCTGAGCCCCTGAGCCACTGCTTATGGCATTGCCCTGGTTTCCAGAGGCAGGTTCTGGCTTCCTTGGTCCTGTGCTTGGAGCAGGAATTGTAAAGCTGCTGTACCCAGTCTCCAAGAGGTAGGGGTGAAGCCTGAGTACCTGCCTGAGCCCGACAGCCCAGCAAAGGGGCCGATTTCATGCAATAACAGTTTATTTAAGGACTACCTTCCTAGCCCTCCCAATCTTTAAAATACAAAAAATTATAGACTTTATTCTTTTAAAAATACAGTACCTGTTCTGAACTATGAAGCAGCAGGAAAATGCCCTTTTTCTGTGATCTTGGTTGAGGCATGGAGGAGAACCCTGTTCCCCACTCAGTGTAATCAAAAGATAATCCCTACAAGCAGCTCTTCCAAAGCAGTCAATATTTTTTCTTTAACTTATCTTTTATATGTAAATAAATTATTTGAAAGAAATCTGTATGATTACTGTTATAGTTGGCTTTCCACACTGTCAAAAATAATATCTTAGAAAAAAAGTTAAAGGAGGAAAGATTTATTTTGGCTCAAGATTTCAGGCCATGGTCACTTGGCCTCAATTGCTGTGGACCTGAAACGAAGTAGAGCATCAGATTGACATAGTACAGGAAACTGCTCACCTCATGGCATCCAGGAAGCAGAAAGTGGAGAGGAAGGAGCTGTGGACAAGATATAGCTCCTAACAGCAACCCCCTAAGGGCCCACTCCCTTAAATTAGATATCACCTCCCAATAGTCCATCAGAGTATGAGCCCATCGAGGGATTAATCCATTGTGAAGGTCAGAGCCCTCCTGGTCCATTCACCAACTGTCATTCCAAGCTTTGTGCACATGGCAAATGGGTGACATTTTAGATCCAAATCATAATTACCATAAATGTGAAAAGCACAGGGGCCTGTCATAAATAAAAAATAACAGTAAATGTAAGTGTAAGAACAGAATGATACCCAACTTAGGAGTTGGTCTGCCATAATTTAAAAAGGAAGATTAGCAAGAATTAGAGAAAAATTTTATAATCTTACCATCCAACAGATTTTTCTCTTTCACCTAAACTGAAGTGTTAAGGTTGAAAGAAGTTTCTCTCTGTGATTCAGTGTCCTTGATGCCGCATCTGTTTCTCCCCTAATATTACTGTGTTCCTATACAGGCATTAGCCCCATAATTTAGGAACTCTGAAATATCTTATGAGGCTGACATCATATTCCCCAACCTCCAGCTGAAAAAATACTTTATTAAAAAAACACTGAGCCTGGAAGCGAGGGGGGATGGGGAGGAGAGGGTGGGAGTGGAGGCAGGGGGGAGAAACGATCCAAACAATGTATGCATATGTGAATAAATGAATAAAAAAAAAACACTGAGTACCACTGTGCATGTAAGTTGTGCACAGTCAGAGAAATTAAGCAAATTTTCTGAAATTGTATAATAGGTGCCATAGTTTTGTGTGGTTTAAGTATGTCCTCCAAAGGATCATGTGCTGTAAACTTGGTCCCCAGAGTAAAAGTATTAAAGTGTGGGGGTCTTTAAGAGATACTAGATCATGAGACTTTTGTCTTGGAAGGGATAATATATTAGTTCCCAGGTTAGTTTCCACAAGTGCAGGTTGTTATAAAAGACCATATCTGGCCCCTCATCAAGCTCTTGCTTCCTCATTCACACATTTGGCTGCTCACATGTGCCATGTGATGCTATCCACCAAGAGAGCCTCACTAAAAGCTGGTATCATTGTCATGGTCTTGGGTCTCAAGAACTATAAGGTAAATAAACCCTTTTTGTTGTTGGTACTGGAGTTTGAATTCAGGACCTCACACTTGCTGGATAGGCCCTCTATTGCTTGAGCCACACTACCAGTCCTTTTCTGTGTTGAGTATGTTTGAGATAGGGTCTCAAGAACTATTTTTCTGGGCTGACTTCGAACTGTGATCCCCTTGGTCTCTGCCTCCTGAATAGCTGGGATTACAGGCATGAGCCACCAGTGCCTGGCTAAACCTCCTTTATTTATAAAGAAATTAATTCAGAATTTTATTATAGTACAGAATTGACTAAGACAATAAGTAAATGGAAAAATCTGCATTTAAATTCAAATTTTTAGAAACGTAAGTTCATCTCTCTTGCAGTATCTTTGCAAGCACAAGTTTACTATTCAACCTAGGAAGGAAGAAATGTAGTTGCTGAAGTTTCAAAGTAGTATCATTCATTTATTCTGTGCCTTAAAGGAGAAGTAGTTCCCCATACCCACAAGGAAATAACTGGAGTGTAATTAAAGTGAGGCCTAGTCAACAGCATAATCACATTTCCTATGTTCCCAGCACTATTCTACACACTTTTTTTTTTCATTTTTCTTTTATTATTCATATGTGCATACAAGGCTTGGTTCATTTCTCCCCCCTGCCCCCACCCCCTCCCTTACCACCCACTCCACCCCCTCCCGCTCCCCCCCCTCAATACCCAGCAGAAACTATTTTGCCCTTATCTCTAATTTTGTTGTAGAGAGAGTATAAGCAATAATAGGAAGGAACAAGGGGTTTTGCTGGTTGAGATAAGGATAGCTATACAGGGCATTGACTCACATTGATTTCCTGTGCGTGGGTGTTACCTTCTAGGTTAATTCTTTTTGATCTAACCTTTTCTCTACTACCTGTTCCCCTTTTGCTATTGGCCTCAGTTGCTTTAAGGTATCTGCTTTAGTTTCTCTGCATTAAAGGCAACAAATGCTAGCTAGTTTTTTAGGTGTCTTACCTATCCTCACCCCTCCCTTGTGTGCTCTCGCTTTTATCATGTGCTCATAGTCCAATCCCCTTGTTGTGTTTGCCCTTGATCTAATGTCCACATATGAGGGAGAACATACGATTTTTGGTCTTTTGGGCCAGGCTAACCTCACTCAGAATGATGTTCTCCAATTCCATCCATTTACCAGCGAATGATAACATTTCGTTCTTCTTCATGGCTGCATAGAATTCCATTGTGTATAGATACCACATTTTCTTAATCCATTCGTCTGTGCTGGGGCATCTTGGCTATTTCCATAACTTGGCTATTGTGAATAGTGCCGCAATAAACATGGATGTGCAGGTGCCTCTGGAGTAACAGTCTTTTGGGTATATCCCCAAGAGTGGTATTGCTGGATCAAATGGTAGATCGATGTCCAGCTTTTTAAGTAGCCTCCAAATTTTTTTCCAGAGTGGTTGTACTAGTCTACATCCCCACCAACAGTGTAATAAACGTAATAAACCACATTAACAGAAGCAAAGACAAAAACCACTTGATCATCTCAATAGATGCAGAAAAAGCCTTT